AAACACACATTCACATTTATAATATTAGTATGGATATGCTTGTTAATGAAATAGTTGTCAATTTTCAAAATCATTGAACATCGAATTTCGATCGATGCAAGAGAAGGTCGTCTTTCGTGTATCGGGGTTATTAAAAATATAAAAATGATTACTTTTACTGTATGCGGAATGTTTTCGTTTAAATTTAAATATTACTAGCATTGAAGATATTTTTATATAATTATTCTTTATTCGGGTAACAAATAATACAATATTACATAAATAAATCAAGTTTCCACTTAAATGACTAATAAATAAATATGTTGGGACATTAACCATCTAGTTCCATGGTAAGCTACGAGGCTCGTGTTATGGATACCAGATAGTTGATACACTACACATGTATAACTTTGAATACATCGTAACATACACATTATAAATATAAACACCCATGACTGGAGTACAAACGTTCGTGCTCATCACACAAATGAATGTCCTCAGCGGGACTCGAACCCGCGAACTGGGCAAAACCATCGTCAGCTACAACAAATAAGAAGCAGAAAAAAAGACAATGAATAATTAATACAAAAATTTTAATTTACAAAATTAAAAAATCACTTAATTTAATAAATCGTAAAAAATAAGGAAAACCATTAAGACATGAAGTACATTTTTTATAATTTAAAAAAGATACAATGTAGATTTTTTTTGTTATTTAATATGGAAACTTCACAAAATGGGGAGAATATCGATTCAATCTTAGATAATAAATGGATTTTCAACCGACTTCAAAAAGGAGGAGGTTCTCAATTCGACTGTATGTTTTTTTTAAATTTAATTTAATTTAATTAAAGCCTACCTATTAAATACATACCTAATCAAATATTTTCGAAATCGGTGCAAGCCCATACAAAACAAAGCACACCGACTTCGAAAATATTTGATTAGGTATGTATAATAAATGAAAACTACCAATCAGTTATTTTTTACTTTTTAGTGCTTTTGTTTGAAGTCGGTTTTTATTTTTTTGTTGAAAAGTTTTTATAAATTGATATACTTTAAAATTGCGACTCATTTAAATTTAAAAAAAGTTAAATAATTATGTTTTAGTTTGTTTTGAATATGTGGTTACATATCTTATACGCGATTTTTTGTAAACTTTGTGAATTATCAGAGAGTATATATAATGTAACTAGCATTGCCTGCGACTCCGCCTGCGTTCAGATGACCAAAAACCAAATTCTTAGGTTTTACATATTAGTATACTCTTACATTGCAGTTTTTGTATTTTTTCTCAGAAATGTGACATTTAACCGCGGTAAAAAGTATCCTACATGTTGATCGGGATAACCAGCTATCATCATACCAAATTTCATCAAAATCCCTCCAGTGGTTTTTCTGTGATGCGGTAACGATGGACAGACAGACAAAAATTCTAAAAACTATAGATTCGGCCTCTGTATCGATAATAATGTATATTTCAATAAGATTTTCCAAAAAATATTTAATGTACAGATTCGGCTTAGTTACAATTTTATTATATGTATAGATAGAACTTTGACTATTCAATATATCTAGATGGAACCCTTTTCTCAGTCGGAGATATAATACACTTGTGCACACATCTTGCGACATGAATGAAACGTATAGATGCATGAAACACAAACGATGTATGTCTCCGACTACATAATACTTTATTCCTTCGTCAACTTGTTTTCATCTTTTTAGTCAGCTTTTAAGCAGTCGGGTTTTTTTTTTATTTTTTTTTTGTTTATTTACAGGTTTTTAATTTTAGCCAATTAGACATTTGAAGTTATATTTACCAATTTTTTACTCTAAATTACTTTGAAACATATAAGTTGGATATATTTATGTTATCGCCTCTTATAAACATTTATTTTGATACCCCACTCGATTGGTTTGGAAGAATTTTTTTTAAAGCCACAAATTGGCGCCTGAAATCCGCCATTTTAATTTTTAACTATTTTTATATAGCATATAGACACTGGCGTTTTCAAGACTCATCAAAATCGGCCTACGCGTTTGGCATCTAGAATGCCATATAGGAACAAACATACATATTACATAGACTGATAAACACATTAGCCTCCCTTGCGTCGCGCAGTCGGGTAAAAAATATACAAAATAGTGTCATTTTTTGTCCCAAAAATGTCCATGAAAACATGGTTGATCAAAAGACGAGTGTAGTGGCCTTTGGTAGAAGTCGTAACTCAGTCTCAAGGATACGTTAGACTTCAACGTGTTTTTAAATACTACCTCTTGTTTTTGGGTTTACACGTGTTTGAAGGTTTTAAATCTTATATTTTATTAAGCTATTAGCATTGCCCGCCGCTCCGCCCGCGTTCAGATGACCAAAAACTAAATTTTTAGGTTTTACATATTAGTACACTCTTACAATGTAGATTTTGTATTTTTTCTCAGAAATGAGATATTTTCCCGCAGTAAAAAGAATTCTATATGTTGACCCGGATAGCCAGCTATCATCATACCAAATTTCATCAAAATCTATCCAGTAAGTTTTCTGTGATGCGGTAACAGACAGACAGACAAAAATTCAAAAAACTATAGAATTGGCTTCTGTATCGATAATGTCTATTTCAATAAGATTTTCCAAAAAATATTTAATGTATAGATTCGGCTCAGTTACAATTTTATTATATGTATAGATAAACCTAGTTATTAACTGAATTGATGAAATTATTATTGTTTATCGAAACTCGTTGCCAACTGAAAATTGTACATCATTTGTATTGCGTATACTACTGAGTGGATATCAGCTTACTACTTATTCAAGTGAAATAAATAATATTTGCATTGGTACAAAAAGTTTCCTTTCTGTGTGTATAATACAATATATATTGCACTCTAGGTTGCTTCCCCATACAAACTTTTATCCCCATTTTCACCCCTCTTTAGGGATGATTTCCGAGATAAAACTATCCTATATGCTTCCCAGGGTCTTAAACTATCTTCTTACCAAATTTCATCTAAATTGGTTAAGTAGTTTCAGAGCTTATTCGGTACAAATAAACAAACAAAAAAATATATTTTCTCTTTATAAAATTATAGTAAGTATACCTACATAGCTTACATGTACATTTGAGGGCGGAAGGAAATTGTAGGGAATTCCCCGTTGCTAATCAAGGGGAATTCTGATAGCCCGACACGTCGAATGGAGGAATAGTGAAATAGATTCATATATTTTATATTACACTTGTGATCCACCCCAGCGCCGCTTAGGTTTACAGAGAAAAATATAATTACACATACAATCACACATATACCTACCATAAAAATACTAGCCTAAAAAGGTAATAGACAGACAGAGTTACTTTTATTTATTACTAGCAGAAACCGCGGCTCCGCACGCGCTAAAACGACAAAAAAAATCTCCAAAAAGGTAGTTTCATGCAAACTTTCATCCCCTATTTTACCCCCTTATAGAATGAATTTTGAAAAATGCTAAAACACGTATTTATTTAATTTTATTGAAGAGCATTAATACCTAGTTTCAAGTAATTCTGATCATAAATATATATTTTTTATTGTATTATAACGTGTTATCCCGTGGGAATTAGATAATTTCCCGCGGTAAAAAGTAGCCTATGTCTCTCTCCAGCCTTCCATATCCTATCCTCCAGACATATAATAATAAAACAGGTATTTATAATATTTTCTACTATGTACATTGTACAAACATAATTAAAATAAAATTCCAATACATTTAAATCCTTATCTTGCTTTATTACATGTTATTATGAACCACCACTAAAAATTACCCCTTACAATCTATATCTATACATTTAATAGAATTGTAAATAAGTCGAATCTGTACATTAAATGTTTTTTAGAAAATCTTATTAAAATAGTCATTATTATCGATACAGAGGCCGAATCTATAGTTTTTAGATTTTTTGTCTGTCTGTCTGTTACCGCATCACAGAAAAACCACTGGAGGGATTTTCATGAAATTTGGTATGATGATAGCTGGTTATGTCCCGCGGTAAAAAGTATCCTATATGTTGACCCAGATAACCAGCTATCACCATACAAAATTTCATGAAAATCCCTCCAGTGTTTTTTCTGTGTTGCGGCAACAGACAGACAGACAAAAATTCTAAAAACCATAGATTCTAGATATTTTCCAAAAAATATAGAAGATTTTCCAAAAAATATCTAATGTACAGATTCGGCTTAGTTACAATTTTGTTATATGTATAGATTTTATTGTTTTACTTGAAATACAGAACCGTTGATTTTTTTCAAACTGCTAAATAATTTTATTAACATACAATAAGTGTATATCTGAAGCACTAATATTGAAAAAGTTTTTTTTTAGATTTTGACTTAGAATTAGCAATAAAATGGATGTTTTTATGTGTGTTGGGTTTTACACAAAGGCTTACTATAAAAATCATAAAAACACGTTCCTATTGTGGAGACTTCCCATTATGGTTTTAATTGTTTTATTTTATTTTTCAAACTAGCATTGCCCGCAGCTCCGCCCGCGTTCAGATGACCAAAAACCAATTTTTTAGGTTTTACATATTAGTATACTCTTACATTACAGTTTTTGTATTTTTTTTTCAGAAATGAGATATTTTCCCACGGTAATAAGTATGCTATATGTTGACCCGGATAACCAGCTATCACCATACCAAATTTTATCAAAATCCCTTCAGTGGTTTTTCTGTGATGCGGTAACAGACAGACAAAAATTCTAAAAACTATAAATTAGGCCTCTGTATCGATAATAATGTTTATTTCAATAAGATTTTCCAAAAAATATCTATTGTACAGATTCGGCTTAGTTACAATTTTATTATATGGATAGATGTGTATTTTGTATGTATGTTGAAGATAATGTTTAGAAATGGGTACTGGACCGACTCAAAAACAAATATTATAAAATTTCCAACAGAATACTAAGTTTTCTTTGTGTAACTTTAGTGCTTTCTATCGTAACAAGTTTTAATTATATATTTTTAATTAACTTACAGGTAGCAATAAAAATAATAGACAAATCGCGGCTCGATGAAGATAATTTGAAGAAAACCTTCAGAGAAATAGCCATCATGAAAAAGTTGCGGCATCCGCATATAGTTAGACTTTACCAGGTAAGTCTGAAAATATTTAAACGACTTATATTCTGGATAAAATTTTGGTTACGGCTAAACTTAAACTACATTGTTAGATTTTAGGATAATTAATTGTCCTAGCTGGAAATCGAATCTGTTATAATATAATTCAGTCCTTTGTAACGGCTAAAGGTTCAAGCATCCCTTGGCGACGGCATTAGAAAACATATTCCGTCTCACTGCCCTAGTGCGTGTTGGCCGACTTCACATGTCTTTTTAAACTAAGGAGTTAGGTTCTCTCAGACCTTTATTCTCTCAGATTCTGCGAGACCCGGGAATTGAACTCACAACACTTGGTTTTCTAAACAAATGCGTTACCCCTGTGTTTCTACTGCCTCTGTAAATCTAACCTGTTCTGCTTTTAAACAAATTTACCCAATAATTTTAGATTTGCCATTATTGTCCACGTTTTCAATTCAAAAAATTCACCCTGCATGAATGTAAAAAGCAGAGATAAAATCACTGAGAAATCTCCGTTTTCTCCGCGAGAGAGCATATTGTTTTATGTTAATAGTATTTCGATAAACGGTTCTCAGGTTATGGAGAGCACGCACACGTTGTACCTAGTCACAGAATACGCGCCGAATGGTGAAATTTTTGGTAAGTTTTGTGTCTATCTGTTACAGTCTATATAATGCATGAATAATTTAATTCCTGAACGAGCTCATACAAGTTCAAACCAAACTGAAAAAATAACGCTCGTCCAAAATGACCAAAATTTTGACTGTGAAAGTAAAGTCTTCTAAAAAAGGATGTATTGAAAATCATTTATATGGAAACAAGATCTTTTGACGACTTTTTTCGCCAAATAAAAACGTTTAAAAAAAACGACTTACAAGCACTAAAATATAAAAAATAACTAAACGGGGGGTTTCATTTAGAATAGATACCTAATCAGATATTTTCGAAGTCGGTGAAAGTATATCCTTCGAAACAAAAACCGACCCGACGAATTGAGAATCTCCTCCTTTTTGGAAGTCGGTTAATAAAAGTTAATAATGTAAAAGAAAAATAAATAGTGTAAAGGACTCGTCTAAACAATCAAAGTAGTAAACTCGAAGGTTTTGCTAAGAGCTTTTAAAAAGAGTTCTTCTATCATAATACTTTCTTAGATTTACGCGAATATTTGACATTTTAAATAAAACTATCTTTTCGGATTTTGTCGCGGATTTATTTGCATTTTTGTTTCCCGACGTTTCGAATGCTTTACAGCATCCATGGTTACGGGAGAGACTGAGGTGTTACATGTCTCGGATGTATAGTTGTTACAGACAGCCTACCCACAATTAACAAAATGAAAATTGCACCAATTACATTACTTCTATCAATCTTTATCATCAGAAAAGGTTAATTAATGGTCTTAAATTATGGTAATATCATATTTTTCATATACTTACAAAGTTTGTGCTAACTCCGGGTTGCTACGGGAACTTTTATTTAATAAGCGAGATATATATATATATATATATATATATATATATATATATATATATATATATATACTCATCGCCTTTTTGTGTGCCAAACAATAGCATAAATTTCATCCAAATCAGTCCAGCCGTGGACTATGAAACACATACAAACAGACATACAAACCTATGCAATGGCAACATTAAACCGTATTCCAGATCATCTAGTCTCGAAAGGACGCATGCCGGAGTCTGAGGCGGCGCGCGCGTTCGCGCAGATGGTGGCGGCGGTGGGCTACTGCCACGCGAACGGCGTCGTGCACAGGGACCTGAAGGCGGAGAACTTGTTGCTGGACAAGGATATGAATATTAAGGTATGTTTTTGTATATGTATGTAGATATATATTTAAAAAAACGTGTGTGTGTACTTATATACGCACGTAAGAAGTTATACTTCTTTGGTGTAACAGAACAAAAATAGCTAAATATTTCATCCTGTATGTCGCAACTCTCGGTTTGTAAAAGTAATGATAAATTAGTATACTAACCTTTTCCATCAAAATATGTATTTCTGACATAACAAATATTTGATTGTCTCATATCCACGCTTTTCATTTATTTTTCTTTATCACTACGATCTAATAATTATTTGTCAGACAATAACAATACCATGGCAACAAACAGTTTGAGCTAACTTCATCATGTCGCTCTTTGGCTGTCGGTGTGCGCGCGCATCTTACATATTTTACTCTCAATTTTTTCCAAACGTCCCAAAAGATGTATAACTTAAAAAAAAAAATACATAAATAAAAATAAGAGAACAAGTTGACGAAGGAACATAGTAGCATTATGTAGTCGGAGACTTTTTTTTTGGAGCTATATTGCTGCGGACCGACTTGCGCTTATCCAATTTTTTAAATAAATAATAAGGAATTGTTCTAACGAGCTGCAATAAAACGTTGCCAGCTGGCAGACTTCGGGTTCAGCAACGAGTACACGGCGGGCGCGGCGCTGTCCACGTGGTGCGGCTCGCCGCCCTACGCCGCGCCCGAGCTCTTCGAGGGCCGCCGCTACGACGGGCCCAAGGCCGACATTTGGGTGAGACACATACACACACACACACACATACATACATACATATATACAGTGCCGGATTTAACCTTAGCGCCGCCCCTGGGCATAGTAAAAAATACCGCCCTATTACCGAAATTTTGAATAAATCTATACATATAATAAAATTGTAAGTAAGCCGAATCTGTAAATTGAATATTTTTTGGAAAATCTTATTGAAATAAACATTATTATCGATACAGAGGCCGAATCTATAGTTTTTTAGAATTCCGCTTAGTTACAATTTTTATTATATGTATTATATAGCTTTATACTTTAACGAATTTATGGTACTATTTTATACACATTTACTACCTGTTACCTGCCAAAGTAACCACAACCCAAACTCTATAGTCGCTGGTCGTAGCTATTACTAAGAATTGTAACTTGCGACGTAGCTATTACTAAGAATTTATTGACTGAAAACCCCAAAAATCAAACTTACGGACGCACGTGGACGACGCGACGCATCGAAAGTTTTACGGATTCACATTACGTTTATTTACTCTTTAAATGAAATAAATCAATCATCATGATTTGTATCAATGATCAATAATGAGTCGTGATTGTAAGTGTGTGTTGTCTGTCCGTGTGTCCGCGTGCCAGTCGCTGGGCGTGGTGCTGTACGTGCTGGTGTGCGGCGCGCTGCCCTTCGACGGCGGCACGCTCAGCGAGCTGCGCAGCGTCGTGCTCGCCGGCAAGTTCCGCATACCGTACTTTATGTCGCAAGGTACGTGGGTTCGATGCTCTCATCTATATTGTTATACATGATGTTCTCCTGACCCATTCCGGCCACGGCGGCCAATCTCACTGAATGAGGAGATATTATAGTGCACAAGTGTACACGCAGACACAACGTGCACTCTCTATTCCTGTCACTCTCGTACTCTGGTGGGACGACACATTGTCATACATACTTACATACTTAATATTATAAATGTGAAAGTGTGTTTGTTTGTTTGTCCTTCTTTTACGTCGAAACTGAGTGACGGATTGTCGTGATTTTTTCTGTGGAGATAGTTTGAAGACTGGAGAGTAATATAGACTACTTTTTGCTGCTGGAGGTAAATATTTAGTATTAATGCTTCTCAAATCAAATAAATACGTGTTTTAGCGTTTTTCGAAATTTAGAGTATAATAGGGGATGAAAGTTTGTATGAAACCTACCTTTAAATTTAGAGTTTTTTTGTAGTTTTAGCGCGAGCGAAGCCGCGGGTTTTGTTAGTACATTGTAATTGTAGTCATTTTGAATATCCACCACTCATAACTCACTCGTATTCATTTTATTTTTGTGCTGTTTTATTTGAGGATACTATTGAGATAGATTAAAGAAAACAAAAAGAAATATAATTAATTAAAATAAAAAAAAAACTCCTTTCCCGTATCGGGAATCGAACCCGAGCCTCCTGGGTGAAAGCCAGGTATCCTAGCCACTAGACCATACGGGAGATGATATCTCATACGAAATAATCAAAAACCTAACATATTTGCTTTTTATATTGATCTCGTAATGACAGTTAAGATAATGACGATAAGATTATATGTACATTGGCACGTTATAAAAGCTCTTACTCTGTTGAATATATTGTTACAGACAAACATTCATATAAAAAACTCAAAATAGCGTCTCAAAAGTGCCCCTTAAAAGAAGTGCACATTTTGAAATTATGCAATTTTTTTTCAAATCTTTTTTATTTATTGCTTTTCGGATGACAACATTAAAATACGCGTTGTTTCGTTTAAAAAAGTACTTTATGTGGCGTGCGTAATTTCGAATTTGTGTTTAGACAATTAGAATAAAAGAGATATTTGTTAGGAAATGTGCATCAATTTTTTTATATATCAACGTAGACAAATGAAAATATTAGTAATATTTAATTTAAGATATTTATTTTCTTTTGTTCTTGGTGTTTATTATTATTATTACTTGTATCTCTTTCTTAACCTCTTCTTCTTTACCTCCTAACCTCTTGGTCTTTGTATAAAATTACAGAATGTGAGCAGCTAATAAGGCACATGCTAGTGGTAGAGCCGGAGCGCCGGCTGTCGCTGCGCGGCGTGGCGCGGCACCGCTGGCTGCAGGCGCACCAGCCCGGCCCCGGCCCGGGGCACTATGGTGAGCTTATGGAATATTGCAGAATGCCAGACAATGTTCTAGAACGTAATAGAATATATGTGAGAAGTAACGTATATTTGTAGCATTAGCAAGCTTCGCGGACTTCACATGTCTTTTTGAAAACTTGCTAGATTGTCTCAGACATGCAGGTTTCCTCACGATGTTTTCCTTCACCGTTAAACAATTTCTAATCTATATTATAAAAATAATAATGTTTTTTTTTTGTATCAGTCTAATATGTATGTAATATGTAGTGTATATATAATCCGTGTGTAAGCAGACGCGTCGACGGGCGCGTGCGCGTGCCACGCGGGCGCGGGCGCCGCCGCCGCCGCGCCGCACGCCGCCGTGCTGGCGCGTATGCTGGCGCTGCCCGGCCTGCACGCGCACCTCATACGCCAGGTGCGCACGCACACACATACATACACACACACACACACACGTGTACGCAGATATATGCATAAACAAACCTTAATCGCGCACCTCAAATTCAAATTCAAAATATTTTATTCAGCATTAAATTATTACATTTTTTTACTAAACGTCATGAGTGTACTACACTCACACACACATAAATGTAAACCTAAATATACAATCACGCTCACACACATATACATATATACATACATGCTATAATTATTGCAAAAAACATCTAATTAGTTATGATAGTCATTTAAGAAAATATTACTCTTTCCTTCATATAGTCCAAAAGTAATTAATTCTCTCTCACTCTCTACCACCCCTCTCCCCACCCATTCTACACCCCCCCCCCTCTCCCCCTCTCTTGCTCTCTCTATCTCTCTGTCTCTTTCTATCTATAATTAAACAATTATTAATATTATATTTTAAAATATTCCATAAACAATATTGACATTAACTTTCAGTCAGTAGAAGAAGAACGCTTCGACCACATATCCGCTATATATCATTTACTGATGGATAAGATGAAGAATAAAGACTCTGAAATGGATAATGGTATGTTATTACATATAAGTTATATCTAATCTATATAATAAAAGTTAATTTTGTTTGTTGGAATGTACATCACTTGAGAATGGGTGGGCTAATTTGGGCTAATTAATATATATAATTTAAAGAAAATGTTTGAATCAACTTGTGGAAAAAATTATGGAAAAGATGCTCAAAGAAATTGGGAAATTTGGGAAAAGTTGAAAGTGCTAATTGTAATTTGAACACGACAAAGTTTGTCTAGTTACATAGTAATTGAATATAGGTAGACTCCCAATACAAACTTTCATCCCCATTTTCACCCCCTTAAGGGTTGATTTCCGGGATAAAAACTCTTATGTCCTTCCCAGGATCTCGAACTATTTTCATAGCAAATTTCATCTAAATTGGTTCAGTAGTTTCAGAGATTACTTCCTACAAACAAACTCACAAATTTACAAGTTTTACCTCTATATAATATAAATTATAATATGCTTGCAGGTATATAACTATTATCATAGTATTAAATGAGCAATCTTGTATATTTTATTTTATGTACCTTTAACTGTAACGATTTTGATCAAATTTTGTACTTAGATAAGGTTTTTTAAGTCAATCTGGATAGATGTTTTTTTCTAAAAAAACGAAATTTTTATATCTTTTTCGAAAAACGCTATGCGTAGGTCTGTCTCCCGAATACTTACTTAAATTACCATTTTTTACAAATATTATGTTTTTTTTTTAATAATTTTATACATATTTTGATATCTAATATGTGACATACAAACAAATCTGTAGTTATTAGTAGTAATAATATGTAATTTTAATTATATTTAATTGATTTGCAGATTCGTTAGATTCCACGACGGGGCTTCCCCTAGATCTCACTAGTTGTAAGGTATATAAAAACTATTTAACTTATATATTCCTAAAGCTAAATAATTATAAACAATTTTCATGGTATAAACATCAAAAAAGTACCAGATACACAATGCCATGCAAAAGTTCTCTTAAAACTGTCACCAATTGTGTTTAGGTGATTGTTCTAGTTGAAATAAATATACGACAATGTAAATTGAACCTTAAATGCAGTGCTTTAAGTTGTTTTCACAAAAAAATAATATAACAACGCGCTCAAATGTTCATATGAGCGCTTATTCGGTGAGGACATTTTTTGTAGCTGATTGTGTATCTAGTACTTTTTTGATCAATGGATATAAACTGTAATATAATTATAGATATAAGTGAATGTTTGTTTGTCTTTTTGATATACATATTTTGAACTAGGAAGAGAGCAATGAATGATAAAATATTTTACGTAAAGAGAGTTTTAAGATTTTATGATATAAGATACGGTACTTTTATCCCACCACGCATTAATTTATTATAAAAACTAGCGATTTACCCTCGCTTCGCTCGGTTGCGTCCGGAATTACATGGGTTTTAATTTGATTGCGTGGAACCCTAATTCATTTTCTAGAATAAAAGCAGCCTAAGTGTTACTCCTTATGACATATCTGCCAGTGAAAGTCCCGTCGTAATTGGTCCAGCCGGTTCGGAGATTAGCCGGAACAAACAAAGAAATAAAAATGGTTTTTTTCTTATTAGTACCGTATATACTTTCATATACATTCAGTAAAACACTGTTATTTTGAAATTACAAACAGACACTTGAATTTTATTTATCTGTATAGATGGCTGTCTAAACACTTTATTACAAACCTTAGTGGTTTCTTGATCTTAAATTTAAAAAATGTTCCTTGTAATATAACGATAAAGTAAAATAAAATATATACATTTATATTATAAAGGATTCAAAAAGAATCAAAGTTGAAAATTTAAAAATAAATAAAAGGTCACCCATCCAACACCCAACTAAAGTGAATGTTGCTTATCCATTCCAGAGCAGCGAGGAGGAGCAAATGGAGGCAGAAGACAGCGGTTCACTGGAAATGTTGCAAGCCCCGGAGTATCTGACCGCAGGACAGGGAGATAGTTTTGAAAAGGTAGTTTAGTCCTTACTTGTTATTTTTTAGAATAGTATATTTATTTACAACAAAGAAAGTTAGAAAACTTTATTTATATATTTAAAATAAAAGTTTCTCTTCGGTATTTTCATGGTTTAATTTTAATTATTTATTCGTGATGTTTCGAATGTTTTATAAATATTTATATTTAGGGTTATGGAGGTAGTACAATTTAAAACTATTTAATTACTTCGAATTCGAAACATCGGGGATAAAAAATCAATTAGCCAGGTTGAAACCCCACATATCATATTGTACAGGTTCGATTCCCATTCACAGCTAATAAACAATTATGATTCCCCACAGTTCGGCGACAGCGCGCTCGCGGAGGAGCCGGCCAGCGCGCGCGCGCACGACGCGCCCGCCGCGCGCCGCCACACCGTCGGGCCAGGGGACTGTCGCCACGCGCAGGTGCGACTACACATGTATATCTCTATATAGGCAACCATGTTTAATGATTCGCGTATTGTCTGGCCAGGGGACTGTCGACATGTGTGAGCGCGATATATATATATATATACAAATAAATAAATATATATATATATATATATATATATATATATATATATATATATATATATATATATATCTAAGAGTAATTCTTGTACATATACAAATAAAAATAAGTTATATATTTATATAAAAAATATTATAGGCAGGAGATCTGTCCGTGCGTCCCTCTACACTATGTGCGTCGACTCACTTCAGTGTGAGTAGTAAAATGTGGACATTTATCACGTTGATGTTAGAATTAGCATGGATTGAGCATTTCTCACAATTAATTTGCAATTTTATTATATTTTTTATTAGCTGAACCGACAGACGTCCTGTAAATACAATAAATTCATATTGAAAAAATTAAATAGATAAAGCACTTAGACTTTCACTGGAATTCACCTATTGTCCGGGTAACATTTTCATTTTTTTTCGTCCCTGAAAATCTTATTTAAACTATTACTATTGCTTTAAAAAAATATTAGCCAAATCCCTTACCAACACACAGATCATTTTGATTTACATATATATATATATATATATATATATATATATATATATATATAAAATATATATATATAAATAAGCAATGAATTTATTTTTTACTTTTTTTATGAACTTTTTGTAACATTTTAAACTCCTAGTAAAAGTAAAACGCCAAAATTTAAAGAACACGTATTTTGCACACTTTTAGATGTTAGAAGCTTATTTATAGATAAATGTCGTATAAAGCTTGCTTTTTAAAGGTCCGTCCGTCCGTTCGACAGTCAGAGGGCTATATCTCATGATCGGTAATAGGTAGAGAGTTGAAATTTTCGCAGTGTGTATTTCTATTGCCGCTATAACAACAATTAATAAATATACAAGAACAATTTTAAATGTTCGTAATCGATCATCGAAGTTAATATACACGTACATACATATAGTAAAAGTCATATAAATAAAAACTACATCTACAATGGTACGGAACCCTTCGTGTGCGAATTTGACTCGCACTTGATCGATTTATATTTTAATATGCACTTTAAAGTTATTAATACACTTAACAGTTGTTGTTTAGTTTTTAAAAGCAATTTTATTCGACTTGTTTTTGATTTTTGTTAAAATTCGTATTTTAAATTAACAATAAGAAAATATGTTTTAGGAAAAATTAATATTTTTATTTGTTCTGTTGTATATTTAAAATGGTGGCGAAGCTTATTTGAAAAATCACCTGGATCCTACCAATTTTATTTGTGTATATGTATTAATTAAGCTTTTCCAATAGAATTAATAATATTTTATTATTTCTAAAAATATTACATGAAAATACAAGTAAAACCGGGAAAACGTGCTATGTAAAATATAAAATAACATATGCATTACCTGTTTAGGACTTCTAATATTAATATTGGTTTAAAGTAACATGCTTTAACATTTAATTATCATATTCAATTCAATATAATTATAATGTTATATAAATATATTTAAAAACAAAATGTGACGCGGAATGCTCTTTTCCCGTACCGGGAATCGAACCCGAGCCTCCTGGGTGAAAGCCAGGTATCCTAGCCACTAGACCATACGGGATGTACGTGTTATGTTCAAAATGTTGTTCTATACAGACTTATTTTAATACTAGCAATTCACCCTCGTTCTGCTCGGGTTCGTCCCTAGTAACGTTTTACCGTTCAGTAAAGATTTCTCAGAGATGAGATATTTTCATGCAGTAAAAAGTATCCTATATGTTGACTCGGATAACCTGCTATCATCATATCAAAGTTCATCAAAATCTGTGTAGTGATTTCCACGCGATGCGCTTACATACAGACAGACAAAAATTCTAAAAATTATAATATATTGTGTATACTTTCATTGTATTTAGTAAAAAAGTTGTTATTTTCACATTACAAACGGACATATCAATTTTATATATTTGTATATATTGTATTGTAGGTTATAAAGGGTACTTCTATAATTTACCACTTATATATTACAACTAGCGGACCCGACAGACGTTGTCCTGTCTATACGTCTTTAATTTGAAAATTTCAAACTTTTTTTAATAATTTTTTTGATGAAAATTATTATTCAAATTGTGAATCCAAACCATTCCCAGATCCCCTTGAACACACACAAAAAATTTCATCAAAATCGGTCCAGTCGTTTGAGAGAAGTTCAGTGACATACACACTCACAGAAGAATTATATATATATAAAGATTATAATTTTTATACTGATTTTTATTAGCAACATGTACAGTGCGCAACTTGTAATTTTTTATTATTATTACTAGCCTTAGATTCACCTTCGCTTCGCTCGGGCTCGTAGCTTGCTAATACAAATTTTCATCACTATTTTCACACCCTTGAGGGGTGATTTAGGGGATAAACAGTATCCTTCGTCCTTCCTAGGGTTTCAAACTATCTTACTAAATTTCATCTAAATCGGTTCAGTAGATCCAGAGATGACCCCCTACATCCCCACAAACTCACAAACTTTATCTCTTTATAATATTAGTATAGATTATTAAAAAACTAGATGGTTTTGGAAATAAACCAAAAGAATTTGGATTTGAAAGAAAAGCCATCCTATAATTTTCAACATCAATGTGTACTATCTTTTTTTTAATTACTATTTTTTATTTTATAGGTATAGAAATGGTTTTTTTACACGAAACCATACAATGTATTAAGTATGACATTTTCATGAAATATATTATACTCAGCAGGGCACACAAGCCACCCTGCCCGGAGTGGTGGGCGGCGGCCAGGCCGAGGTGTCGCTGCTGCCCAACACCAACCTGGCGGCCAAGCTGCCCGCGGTGCAGCACCAGCCGCCGAGATACTGCAGCGTGAAAGATCATCATCTCCTGAAGCCGCCTGTTGCTATGCAGACACAAGGTGAGTGTATGGAATAGAGGTGTTGTTTGTAGGTTCTGATGTGGCTTCCGTGGGTTCGAAGACGAGATCGATTTGTTTTATTTAAAAGGTTTTATATAACTCGGTAGCTGAATGCGCGATATAGTATATATTACATTTGAATGAAAAATTCCCGAAACCGCCATTGTTATGTAAACGTATGAAGTGAAGTAAACGTAAGAACTGATTATCATGATGTCAATATTGGGTTCGAATCCCAGATTTATGCCAATAGTTTAATCTTTTGCTTGCTTTTTTTTGTTTTCTGTTTATTTATGTAAGTTTAATTGAACAAAAGTTTATTATTAAATTTTTTTAAACATTTTTTTACGATTAATTCTGAACTCAACCTGAGTTGATTTTTTTTTAATATGTTTCTGAGTTCAAATCTCATGTCTCAGTAAGATCAGCTGTAATCAAAATCGGTTAGAAGAATATTATTATTTTTTCCTATACCTAGCATTGGGATGTTGAGTGGGTTAAAATTTTATGATTATTATTATTAATGAATAAACTAATGATAAATAAATATGTTGGTACATTAACATACAACATAAAATATAACATGGAAAGCTACGAGTTATCACTACATAATATAAAACAAAGTCGCTTTTCGCTGTCTGTCTGTCCCTATGTATGCTTAGATCTTTAAAACTACTAAACGGATTTTGATGGGTTTTTTTAATAGATAGAGTGATTCAAGAGGAAGGTTTATATGTATAATACATGCATATTATAGTACAGAAAAGCCGAGAAATTTAAAGATTTGTATTTCATACTAACCGTTAAAACGTACCTAGGAACGAACACGGGCGAAGCGATGGTGAGTCGCTAGTTCATATTACAAATATAAACAATGACTGAAGTACAAATATTCGTGCTCATCACACAGCGGGACTCGAACCCGCTACCGCTGGCACAGCAAGTAGAGTCACTACAAACTGAGCCAAACGTGTCGTCAAGATTGTGACGTATTATATATTAGTTATTACTAGAGTTCGCCGGGTGGTCGAACTGCGACCATGATTATTATAGATTTTTCTTAAAAAGGGATACAAAGTTTTTGCTTGACGTGTTAATACATAATTATAATGTAGCGTCGTCGTTCGGGCGGCGCGCGTCGGACGGCGGCGCGCACGTGCGGCGCGCGCCCGACGCGCCCTGCTGCCGCGCCGCGCCCGCGCACCACGTGAGTGCTGCACGCTTTGTTTGCTTACGTTTAGGGATTTCATTATTATAAATGTCTTTATTTCAGGTTTATTCGCCAATATAAAATGTCTACAATATATGTAGTTACAATAAAATTATGGTAATATATATATATATACATTCTACCTAATTTTTATTTCTACGGCATTGCTGTGTCAACCAATGCCGGTAATTTGTAAGGGATTATGTTTAATCCCTCCACGACCGCGGACACACCGGCGTGTCAGTTAACAATAGATTTCTTAGAAATGTAATTAATTTTTTTAGAAATTTACCTGGAGGTGTTATTTCCAGGCACCGGTCATAAAAGTACTAGATACACAATCAGCGGCAAAAAATGTCCTGGCCGTATAAGTGCTCATTTGAGAATTTGGGCGTGCTTTTATTTTATTTTTGTGAAAACAACTTTAAACATTGCACTTAAGGTTCAATTTACATTGTTGTATGTCATCTGGAATAATTACCTAAACACAATTGGTGGCAGTTTTAAGAGAGCTTTTGCATGGGATTGTGTATCTGGTACTTTTTTGATCGACGTTACTAAGTCTAACTATATTACTGTGAAATTAAATTTCATCCAGCTGTTTTAGTGTGAAGAACACACACACACACATACACACACACACAAAAGTGTCCTGTATCACTGTATAACTTAACAATGCCGTTGGTAAGCATCACATCTTGAAATTATCCAAATCCTGCTATCAAATTTTTGATAATAATTATTAATTATTAATAAAACTAATAAATATATACTTTTGATACGAACAGATTAAATGTAAATTTTGTTTATCATTCAGGTGTCGGACAGCGGCACCTCTACGCGAGCTGAGGAAAGTGAACACACAGAAGAACAGACTTCGGACCCCAATTATAATACTAATTTATGCAGGTATTTAGATATTGTATAACAATATTATATTACTAGCAAATTATCCTTGCTTTGTTCAGGTGCTGGCTACGTTTTAATTTTTTTTGAGCGGAACCCTGATTTTTTTCCCAAAATAAAAGTAGCTTAAGTTACTCCTTATAATATTAGCTATCTGCCAGTAAAAGACGCATCAGATGCTTGGCTGATCTGAAGATTGCCTGATCATCACAATCGCTACAGCCGTTTTGGAGTATATAGGGAACATACATACACATACCGATTTTTACATACATATATAGAACATATACATATATGACACTAGTGTACTAAGTAAGTGAGAGTGATCGCTGTCTGTCCGTCCGCGCGCAGGTACATGCTGAACCGCGGCAGCAGCAAGCGCCACACCATGGCCACGCCCGAGGACGCCGCCTCCTGCGCGCCCGCCGCCATCGTACGTATATACACACACGTACACACACAAAAGCATATATATACATATGACAACACTTTTAGGGTTCCGAAGGGTTCCAACGGGTTTCAACCCTATTCCTAAGCCTCTACTGTTCGTCCGTCTATCTGTCAGCGGGCTGTATCTCATGAGCATAATAAAAAAAATCGATTAGTAAATGTACTAAGGTGTTATATATTGTGTGATGATATGGAACCCTTCGATTTCGATTCGATATCGACTCGCACTTTACCCTTTTTTTTATTTTAAACCTAAAAATTAATTACCCATAAAAAGTTTTCATCTCATAGAAGTTAATACAATTATGCAATAAATATGTTAAGTTTCGTAGTGTTTTCTTATATATTGTGTATTTGTTATAAATATATGTTATCTTTACTATTTTAAATAAAACTATCCTTTAGGATTATTTCGCGGATTTATTTAGATTTTTGATCCTCAACGTTTCGAATGCTTCACAACACACATCTTCACAAAAGATACTAAGGTTTTAGACGTCTCTAAGGTCATTAGGTAGATAACGTGTGTATCAACTATAGATACACATGTTATCTACCCACAAAATTACAAAATGGCATCAAAGTACCTTACAATATTTGTTATTTTTAATTCAAAACATTTTTTAACTATAAACAATTATTGCTATAACATTCCAGCAGGCGACGTCGACGTCGTCGACCACCAACATGCGCGTGCGCCGCACCGGCCTGCTCACCGTCACGGAGCGGCCTCCTGGTAACTAACTCACTAACTAACTGACGCCATCTAGCGTAGGTAGAGATAATTGCTTCTGTTTAGATATATTTTTTTATTTAGGACACCATCTAGTGTGTGTAGTGTGTACTATACATATATATGTGTAAGCATACAGATAAATGCTTTTTGATATTTACTTTTTTTTATGTTTTGTTTAGATGAATATGTTTTTATTTTTGTTGGATTTTTTTGTCTATTATGTCATAATTTTGTCATAATAGTGAGTGAATGCACTATTTCACTTAATTCTTTTGCTTTATTTTTTTATTAAATGTACTTTTTTGTTAATTGTTTCCCAAAAAATCGCAACCTTTTTGCAAAGAGCTCGGGGAAATCCCTAGAAAGAAATCCTCACAAAATAGCGCATGTTATTTGTTTTATGTTGTTTTTTTAGCAAAAGAATTTAATTAACGCCTAATAATTGTTGTGTTATTTGCAGTAGATGTGTTTTTATTATAATTTAAAGTAAATGTGAAGATTTTTTTTGCTTATATTGAATCGTCACATTTAATTTTTTTTAGTTTTAACACCAGCATGCAAATGCATTCGCTAATTTTTATTTTTTTTGTTTCCACAATTTTTAGTTATAAGTCCGGAACTAGTTATGGAAGTCGAAGCTCGAATGAAACGGAACTATCTCCCCCCCTCAATACAGGGGGGGTATAATTATCAAAACCAAACCGGTTACCAAAGTCCCCCACCCGGGACCACACCCACTAGTCCACAAGGGTCCATTACATCTGGTACTTCCAATTTCGCAAAAAATTCAATGAAACCAGTCTTAGAAACTATACCACAAGGAAGTATAATGGGTTCGAATCAAGCCACAACCCCTTTCACACCGTCTATATCACAATTCTCCCCATCCCACGGGACTGTCCCACAGACGGGTTCAATAGTTAGCGGCACCCCACTGTCTCCTCAGGGTTCAATAATGTCTGGAACCCCTATGACCAGCCAGGGGTCAATAATGACCGGAACCCCCATGTCTAGTCAGGGGTCGATAATGTCCGGAACCCCTATATCTAATCAAAACTTCTCTAGTAACGTGCCAAGTCAAGGGTCCATAGTATCCGGCACGCCAGTACAAAATCAATTTAACTCTTCTATTACCAACCAGGGTTCTATAGTAACTGGAACCCCTATACAAAGTCAAGGGTTTATTTTATCTGGTGCTAATACAGGCTCAATCGTTAGTGGAACTCCAATGCAAAGTCAAGGATCGATAATGAGTGGAACCCCAATGCAAAGTCAAGGGTCGATAATGAGTGGAACCCCAATGCAAAGTCAAAGTTTTTCTTCCAATTCCATACAAAATGAAGGCTCATTTTCATCATTACAAAACCAGGGTTCCATAGTGACTGGCACTCCACTAGAAAATAAAAGTTTTAGTACAAATTTCGGTTACAACTCTCATGGTTACAACCAGAACTTCTCGAACCAACCAAGCGTTCCCAGTGGGTCGATAACCGCTGGTACCCCGGTCAGTGGTAGTGGGTTCAATTCCAACCAGTACAGTCGGCAACGCAAGTACTCTGGCCCGCAACGCGTCAAACTGCAAATGTTGGCCACTGTACAGGAAATGGGTAATTTTTTTTAATTAAATTTCATTTGGGTCAATTCGGGTTAAGGTTTATAATTTTTGAGGTTTATTTGTAAAGTAAATAATAAAATAGTTTTATATGAGACAGGTATGTCTTTTGCTTTTATTTTTGTGTGTATGTGTGTTTGCACGTTTTTTGTTTGATTGTGTGTGTATATATTTTTAAATAAAGTGCTTGTAGATGTGTGAATTTAGAATTGTTTTTTTTTTATTTTATACACATGTACATTTATTATTTATTGGTGAGTATTATATATATATATATATGATAAAAATAAAGAATTTGACAAAAGGTTGATAATAATTATTAATGAAGTGAGTTTTAATATTAAAATTAGTACTTTGAAATATTGATAGAAGAATCGTCACTTTTTTATATTTTTCAAAAAATATATTTAAAAGTTGGTCCTTCAAAAATTTTACTATGTTTTAATTACTGTATTTATTTTTAAAGTACGATAAACAATCTATATTAATATTATAAATGCGAAAGAAACTCTGTGTGTCTGTCTGTCTGTTACCTTTTCATGCTTAGGCGAAATTTGGTATGGAGATAGTTTGAGACACTGGAAAGGACATAGGATAACTTTTATCCCGAAAATCATACTAAGGGGGTGAAAAGAGGGGTGGAAGTTTGTACGGGAAATCAATAATTTCTCAATTAAGGTTACTTTAACAGTAAGTTGTATCTCTCTAAATATAAATTTATATGTATTTAATAAAAAACAATATCAAAAACGAGATTTTGAGGTTAGAAAGATCATAAGATCTTATGTGTATAAGAATCTTTAGTGTATAAACACTAAAGAAACAATAGAGAAAAATATTATTTCGTTAATATTTATAAAAGGTCGCTCGAAAATATTTTAGATACACTACTTATAAAGTTAAAAAAATTATGAGCGCTGCTTAAAAATTCAAATATTGATATGAAGTTTTCAGAATCGAAATTTTTAACCCAGAAAATGATAAATAGCAAGAAAAACTAAATAATAAAAAACAATGTTTGACGAGTTTGCCAATTTGAAAAAAATTGTAAGTGACCAACAAAAAAATTTTTCGCTAACTTTTAAGGAGGTTTTACACATGATAAACTATCATATTCTCATACGAGACACGAAAAAAAATATTGTTTTTGTAAGTTATTTTAACGTGTTCTCTAATGTGTCGTGTGAATGAGATAATCTCGCGATGTAAAAAGTAGCCTATGTCATTCTCCAGCCCTCACTATGTTTTGACTTGAAAGAAGGACAGATAAACAAACAAACACACTTTGAGATTTATAATATTAGGATAATTAGTGTATCTATTCCATGTATGTATAATATGTATGTACGTATGTGTGACAGCCCGGGAACACGCGGAGCGATACTCGCCGGTGCGGCGCGCGGAGGTGAGCCCGCCGCGCGCCGCGCTCGGCCTCGCGTCCGCGCGCCTCGAGTACCAGCAGCTGCAGGTACGTAGCTACCTGCTGATATAGATCTGGCTACATTCTAGATTTTAATTTATCTATGTATGTACGTGTACATGTATTTAGCCCTTTTTTTAACGTCCTGCTGGGCATAGGCCTCCCTTCGATACGAGTGTGATCAGGCCATAGTTCCCTTACGCTGGCCAAGTGCGTGCGGACCGGGCATGTCTGCAGACAACTTGCTAGGTTCTCTCAGACATGCAGGTTTCCTCACGATGTTTTCCACCACCGTAACCATGTTGGAAATATCAGGGGTGGAGACCCAGGATTTAAACCCGCTTCACTCGGTTTCCCAAGCGCTTTACTGGGCTACCACTGCTTGTAAATTTTTCTAGATTCACATAATACTTTCTTAGATTTACGCGAATATTTGACATTTTATATAGTCTCTCCCGCGACCATGACTGTTGTAAAGCTTTCGAAACGTCGGGAACCAAAAATCAAAATAAATCCGCGAAAAAAGCGAGTTTTATTTCAATTTCGAATTATCTAGATTTATTTTTTTTTGTGAATTAGAGCTAGGTGGGTAAAGGTGTAATATTTTTACCGTCACGACACATTTTGAGTATCGTACCAAATAGGATCCTATTACTGAGTCTCCGCTGTCGCTCCGTCTGTCTGACAACGGACTGTATCTTATGAACCATAAAAAGTATAATGTTGGAATTTTCACTATGTGTGTATTTCTATTATATCTATAACCAAGATGGTTAATTTCAAAATGGCCGTCATGCAAATTAATTATTACTCAGTTTTATAGCTTGTATATTTATACACGGTACGAAACCCTTCGTGTGCAAGTCCAACTCGCACTTAACGGATTTTATCTAATATCTAGTTAGGTTCGATTTAAGTTGAAACTGCTAATTAAGTATTTCATCAGATATGAAGGCTAATATATGTGTATTGATAACAGCGTGGACTAGAACGCCGTAGTGGTGTGGGGGGAGCGTCTCCTCCTGCAGAAAGATTGCACACGCCCGCCGCCTCCGTGCCTGGTATGTGCCTCTAATAACACTTACAACACCAATAACACTAACAACACTAATGACATTGATAACACCAATAACACTAATAACATAACCTAATGTAGGAATACAACATATTATAATATAACCTAACTAGCTTTGCCCGCGGCTCCGCCCGCATTCAGATAACCAAAAACCAAATTCTTAGGTTTTACATATTAGTATACTCTTACATTACAGTTTTTGTATTTTTTCTCAGAAATGAGGTATTTTTCCGCGGTAAAAAGTATCCTATATGTTGACCCGGATAATCAGCTATGACCATACCAAATTTCATCAAAATCCGTCCAGTAGTTTTTCTGTGATGCGGTAATAGACAGACAGACAGACAAAAATTCTAAAAACTATAGATTCGGCCTCTGTATTGATAATAATGTCTATTTCAATAAGATTTTCAAAAAAATATTTAGTGTACAGATTCGGCTTAGTTACAATTTTATAATATGTATAGATAACAAAACCTTACGCTTATTAATAAGAATTCTCATAAGACACTGTTGCTTAAACAAGCACTGGCACTGACGGAGATGTATGGAAGCAGGTGAAACGCCACTCCATCTTTTTGGAGAATGTGGGCTTCTTATGCACCAGCTCAGTTTTCATCTTGGAACACAGTTTCTAGGCCCTGCAGACATAATATTTTTTTTCATTCTTTAACATTTTTTTTAATTAATCATTAAATTGCTTAGGTTCCCCAATCCACGCCGGCGCGTCCACGCCCACGCTGGACCTCAGCACTGTGGACCCCGCCAGAGAGCGAGCTGCACAGGTAATACATACATATACACAAACATACAAATTGTATATGAATAGTTCTTACATAATTTCTTTGGAATTGAAGTCAAGGACTACAACATTTATGTAGATATCAAAATGAAATTATTTAGCACAATGGTGGACTTATTTCATATTTTTATCAAAAAAACAAGTAATATATTTGGAAATTTATAGTCCAAAAATCTCCTAAAATGTTTAATTTTTTTGCTTGAAAGTAAAGTTATATGAAATTAAAAATACATATAGTAAAAATATGTTAATTATCTCAAGCAGGAATGGTACCCGTGACCTATCTCATACATGACACAAAATATACAATTTTGTGACAGTTGAATACAAACAAACATTAAAAAAAAATTTTTTTTCAGGACCTGTCACTAAAATTAGGCATCAATCTAAACAATCTCTACACCTCACATCTTTCCCAAGACCTTTTAAAGTCCATCCACTACGGTAGCTACGGCCTTCTCTCGGGGCATAGTTCTCCATCCCCGGGATCCCCCCTCCACCAAATAACTGAAGGGTTAAGTTACCTTCACACCGGGTCCATAACCAGGGGAACCCCCCAACCCCACTCCACACCTCTTGACCTTCGAAACAACGTAGAGATGGAAACTAACTATCCCCAATTACAAATCCTCCCACAAATACACCTAACCCATAGATCCCTAAACAATTCCCCAATTTCCAACCCTAGTTTAGACATGATCCAGGAAGAAATAGGGAATGGCAGTCAAAATGATGGCAAGTTCCCCAAACCGTATCAACCTCCCCAAATAAGCCTGACAGATTGTTTGGGGTCAGAGATCACGTTAGTCGCCTCTTCCTCAGAAGACAGTGTGGACAGTCTAGAAAATTCCAAATACCACATACCACAATTCGTCATTTCCGAACACACCGATTTAGATAATAAACCGTCAATAATCAAAGGCATCGGGCGGAAAGTTAGTCAAGAAACAGAAAAAGAGTTGCGGGAAAGGGAATTAGAAGATAAAGATACGGATATGGAAAAAGAAGATGAGACTAAGTTAGAAACGAGAAGAAATAGTGATAAATCGCTCGGTTTTAGCGACGACTCGTTAAGTAATGATTCGGCGAACGTTTCGCCAAATTGCGAACAAAATATACAGTCAATTTATTCGAATATAGTGTCGATAAGTTCAGGGTTTAGTGAAAATCGAGGGAGTTTTTCCGACCATCGGGAATCTTTCTCGTTCTCCGACCGCGGAAGCTTTTCGGAGAGAGGAGACTTTGGGCGATCATCGTTCTCAGAAAGGAGCGATTTTGGTCGAAGTAGTTTTTCGGAAAAGGGCGAAACTCCACGTTCTTCGTTCTCCGCTCAAGGCGTTTTGGGCGAAGTCAAAGAATATTACGAAGAATATTTACCCAGAGACAAGAATTTGGAGAATTTCGAAGAAGAATCGCCACAAGCTGAGATTGAGAAACTGCAGCGGTCCACAATGGACCTCCGTCTGTCGGAAATATGTCCGGAGGACCAAAAAATTCCGATTTTGCTCAGTCCGGAAAATATTTCTTGCGTCCAGGAGTATTATGAAATCGCGTTATCAACGGTCTGCTCTCAGTTAGATTCTGAGAGGATAGTGGAATTGTTAAAGGAAGCAATAAACACAAGAGTGCCACCGCAGAATATATTTGTGGAAACAAGTGAGCAGAAAGAAAAACATGATGATGCTGAAAATTTAACTGGATTTCTTAATCTGGAATATTCTGGAGGCATCCAAATCGAACTGGTAGTGTGTGAGAATAAAGCTAAAGAGAAAAAAGGTTTAAAAATGAGAAGGATATCCGGGGATCAAAATGAGTATGGAAAGTTGTGTCAGCAACTGATCACTAGTCTTACGGTTTGAGTCAATTTTTTAAATATTATATGTGAGAAAGAGCTATTGAAAGAGGTTTCAGACATTTTGAAAAAATATATGCATATTTTTTTTTGTATTTTGCCTTTAGTGATTCTTTTTTATTTGTCTGTTTTGTTATAAGTATATTTCGAATTATTTCAGTTATTTTTTTTTTATTTTATATAATGTAAAGAAATAAAATTTATACCTTTTCCTTTTGATAGCTCTTTTTTTAAATATATCCACAAACTAAACCTTTGATTGATATTTGGTGGGAAATTCCAAAAAAATAATTAAATTGTGATAAATTACCATAAAAGGGGTTAAAAGCAATCGGGGGCTGTTATATAGGTTTAGGATACAGTCGTCAATAAAAGTGGAATGAACTGTCCTTTTTTTGATGTCGGTTAAATTCCATACGTTGTAAGCATTTATTTGAATTGCATTGCTTTTTGTAAGTGGGTTTCATAATAACATCGTTTTTAAGTACTAATATTTATAAGCTAATTTTTTTTTCTTATTTTAAAAATATTTTAATTAAAAAAAATCTATCTAATTTTGATTAAAACTTTATTAGAATCTTCTAAAAAGTGTCATTTTATATTATATGTGACAGTTTTGTGACGAAGTGACAAATCAAACATTATAAATATAAAGGGCCTTTTTTTAATATATTTCAAAATAATCTTATTTTGTCAATCTCCTACGCGTTTTCTCCATTCTACGTGACATTAATGACATAATATATTCTTAACTGGCAAATTTTGAAGCCATTAACAACATAGTTGACAGGTTAATTCAATCCCGGCCTCATCCAGCAATACCTCGGGATAGTAAAGATAATAGTACAAATAACTTCAATAACTATATGAAATTCACTTACAAAAAGATCTTGATTCATGTGATACAAATTTTGTACAGTTCCATAGAACGAGTAGATCTAAAGCCTTAATTCATGCGAACTACTTAGTCATGTTACGGGTAAACTTCGTATTAAGACACTTTTAGATTTGACTGGTTATAATTAAATAACCTAGTAATAATGACGATCTGTTACATACAGACATATATATTTTTTATATTTAATTGTATGGAAAATGACAGGAATCTTACCCACAGCTTTATTCAATTAAATATGTATATAATAATTATGCACTTAAGTGTAATGTAAAATCATTTTTTGAATTAATACAAGAAATTCCTAGTGATTCTTTTATTTTTTTAAATGGCGTGATATATGTTGATTCGAAGTTTATCCGTAACATAATGCTCGAGTAACATCAAAATGTGCTCCTCCATTTATTTGTATATTATGTTCATAAATAAATTTATTTATTCCATACATTTAGAATATTCCATTAAAATAAATTTTGTAAATAGTTTTTGAGGACAGATAAAAAATACTGAATATGTAAAAGAATTTAGTATTTTTTGTGTGTTGCCATGTGAAATGGTGGGAGGTGTGGATGAACAGTCCTATGATTTCGCATATTTAGTGTCGCCATAAGCTTAGTTATAAAGTTTCCTGTAAATAATATTTTAATAAATTCCGATTCCATTACGTTATTTTGTATTTTTTTTAAGAATCTAACATTCATTACCCAACCAGTTAGGTACCTAAAAGTAGCCTGTTCTGTTACTCCAGCTTATAATCTATACATATAATAAAATTCTAACGGAGCCTTTTGTTTGTCTGTCTGTTACCGCATCACATAAAAACCACTGGAGGGATTTTGATGAAATTTGGTATGGTGATAGCTGGTTATCCGGGTCAACATATAGGATACTTTTTACCGCGGGAAAATATCTCATTTTTGAGAAAAAAATACAAAAACTGCAATGTAAGAGTATTGTATTCAGCCCTTTTTAACGTCCCACTGCTGGGCACGGGCCTCCCTTCAATACGAGGGGATTCAGGGCATAGTCCACCACGCTGGCCAAGTGCGGGTTGGCGGACTTCACATATCTTTTGAGAGGGTTCTCTCAGACATGCAGGTTTCCTCAAGATGTTTTCTTCACCGTATGCAAGTGGTAATCAATGATTCGCACCTGAAAATATCAGAGGTGCGAGAGTACCCGGCATGTAAGAATACTAATATGTAAAACCTAAGAATTTGGTTTTTGGTCATCTGAACGCAGGCGGAGCCGCGGGCAATGCTAGTTTTTAAGAATAAAAGTCGAGAAGGTAAGTTCAGTAAAATATTTATTTACAAAATGGATTAAAACCAATCTTACACATAATTTGTATTATTTTGTGCGGATAAATTCTAATGTAATATTATACCATTTGCGTCGGCGCCATTCATAAAATATTTTTGGAAATGCTTAACCATTATTATTTAGTTTTTTCTTATAATACTTAACTCGTGTTTCTAAGTTAAAAAAATTTCATGTTTTACTAAAATTATGTTTAGAACTAGTTATTTTACACTAATAGTTATTTATGGATTCTAGCTTATAATAATTGTTAAGGGATTCTTAGGAAATGTAATTTAACCAAATAATAATTTAGACAAATTTAATTATTTTATGAATGGCTGCTTTAAACCGAGCAGGTTCGATGCCGGCTCAGTTCAATTTATAATAATATTTAAATTAACCACTTATGACATTTCGTCATACTAATAAAACCTATTTTTACAAGCTTTTTCTCCATTAAGAAATAAAATTTAGATCAAAATACTTAACAGTAACTTTTACAAAATGCTCACATATCTACTTTACAATTTTGACATGAAAATATTTGCTTAGTTCCATAATTGTATATTGAACGATTCATCTCAATAAAGTTGAAAGGGCAAACAGAAAAAAAAAATTTTTTCTCAGTTCATGTCTGCTTCTACCAAAGACTACATCATCTATAAATTTAATTTGTAGTAATTTCACAGAAACATTTTAACTTTTTTATGTTCACATATTAAGAAATCCAAGCATCTTATTAAATGCTAATAAGTATGACTTTACAGATTGTGATTTCAAGATCAAATTAAGGACCAAATACGTATCTTTCCGCTTCAATACAAGTTTTTCCTTAGACCCACAACTATTAAAGAAGCAAGTGAGAAACTCCAAATCTATCCACATTTCCAAAAAAAAAATACAATATATTTACTACACAGCCTGCCCCTAAATAAGCCTTACTAAAGGCCCTTCCAAATTCAACTTGGGGGATAGTTGATTTTCAGTGCAAAAGTGGCATAACTCGGATATTTGATTGATGATGATTGATGTTCTCCTGACCGATTCCGGCCGCGGCGGCTAATCTCATTGAGACTAGCCAACTGCGCAGGAGATATTATAGTGCTCAAGTGTACGCGCAGACACAACGTGCACTCTCTGTTCCTGTCACTCTCATACTCTGGTGGGACGACTGCTCGACACGACCGGTGAGAGTTAAGTCGCAGGACCGACGGCTTTACGTGCTCTCCGAGGCACGGGGGTGAAACACCGCTAAATTCCCAACTCCGGGCTGTTACTGAGGCTTACTTTACAGAAAGACTCAATAACTAAACTTGGCCCGACCCGGGACTCGAACCCAGGACCTCCGGGTGTGCAGCCGTACATGCTAGCCGCTACACCACCGAGGCAGTTCATTTTGATTATTGTATATATTTATTGCATTTGATTACTGTATATATTTACACTGACGACGGGTAAATAAAGTAAAATATAAATGTGTTGGTACATTAACACACATCACCATCAAGTTCCATGATAAGCTACGAAGCTTGTGTTATGGATACCAGATAGTTGATACACTACACATATATAACTTTAAATACATACATAAATATTATAAATATAAACACCCACGACTGGAGTACAAACATTCGTGCTCATCACACAAATGAATGCCACCACCGGGGCTCAAACCGAAAAATTATAATATTTGCAACATATTATAAGAGAAGAGAAATAAGCTAAATCCTCCCTTTGCTTATAGTACAAGAGGTAGCGTAGCGTAGCACCTATTTATTTTATACCAACTAAATTTCATAACGAAAAAACATTTTTAACGTAACGTTATGAGTTAAATCAAATTTTCAAATTGAGTAAAGTTAATTCAGAGTCAAGTAGCGGCGAGGCAGATTTTGTTGGCAAATTTTTTGATACTATTCTGAACTAAAAAAAATCAGCTAATTGAAACAGCCCACACACGTATCTATGTTAACCATACCAGTGACTTACCAATACTTCGCTAAGGTGCATCCCTAACTAGGGAGTACGGACCTGACCTAAATTAACCTACGTGTTATTTTATCTAAATCCTCTAAGCTTCATCTAAATTGATTCAGCCGTTTCAGCGTGACGGTCATACACACATACTACCTACCTACAAATTTTCACACTTTGAGAATATTCAAAATATATATTTCGTACTACCGCATAGTTTCTATGAATATATAGAAAGTCACTAGAACTGTAATGAGCTCTCCACAGATTTGTTACCGATTATTATTAAACACAACACACATTGTCTTGTGCAAATTTGTTCGCCTATAGAAAAAAACATTTCCCAGTTTCTCGGACATTTTCAATTTATTCCATAAAAACTTTAGATTGGAACGAAAATTAAAAAAAGAATTTAGCCATTTCATTCCAGCCGTTCTCAAGTGAAGAGCTTACCAACGAACAGCATCTGATTTTTATTTAAATAGAAGATTAAAAAAATATTTAACATTATTCGGAATAAAATAAGCAGAAATAATGTAACGCCCTCCCCTAATATTTAGCCCATTAGTAATATTTTATTATAAACTAACGACTTAACCTCACTTCTCTCGGGTGTCGGATTTCGATCACAATTTCAGTTTTTAATTTTATTGCGCCTAATTTTTTCTAAAAAAAGTAGCTTAAGTTAATCCTTATAACATCAGCTAACTGGCAGTTAAAGTCCAGTCTAAATCGGTCCAGCCGTTTTGGAGATTAACCGGAACAGACAAAATTTTTAAAAATAGGTGTTTTTCTTATAAGTACCGTATATAATTTCTTATATTTAGTAAAAAGTTGTTATTTTGACTTACAAACAGACACTTCAAGTTTATTTACCTGTATAGATTAATAATATTTTAAAATATCAAGATAAATAGCTTAAAAGATAATGTAGCTTGCTGTTAGCAATAGAAGTTTCATTGAAATTTTAAAAAGTTTTAAGTTGGGTCACTATTGCACTGAAAGTTTGTTATATTCTATTCTTACCTTTATTTCTTACTTCACTTACGTGTCTATATTACAAAAATCTAAAATTAAAATTTAAGATGATGATTTCAAAACGTTTTGTTTTACATTTAATTTAAAAACTTACAGTTGGATCTTAATAATTTTAGGAATTTAATTCTAAAACTTCACTAATTTCTATCAAAATAATTTTTAATAATCGATTTTTATTGGACATCACTAAATAAATTTGTCAAATTATGTAATGAAATTATTGAAGTTATACTTCTTTTGGCACGTTTGGAAAAAATGATTGAGTAAAATTTTTACGATGCGCGCGCACACCGACAACCGAAAAGCGACATGATGAAGTTAGCTGCATTCCTTTTACAAACAGAGAGTTGTGACATATGGGATGAAATCTTTAACTATTTTTGTTCTGTTACGCCAAAGAAGTATAACTTCTTACGTGCGTACATAAGTACACACACACACTCGTTTTTTTTAAAATGGTCTAGTAATTTACCTCATATTATTTTTGTTTTTCCATCAAAAATCAACAAAACTCACGTCATCTGTATCAACGGCTAGCCATCTTTTATTTTTACTATAAGTAAATAAATTCTTATATATCACGATCTTATAAACTGTATTTAATATTAAAACATATTCATACTTAAATATAACACATTCCACTTAAAAACCGTTTGCCAACAGATTTGTAAAATTTGTCAAATATTTGATAAACAGTTTTATTTATCAATAATAAAAAAAGAAAATAATTTGTTTATTTCATTTCCATAATAAATTTATCAAAGTTTTTTTTTTATCAACCAAAATTAAGAAAAATGGACGGACTTTAATGAGGTTTCATGGTTGTACAATAAATTTTAACTCTGTTAACTATATTATATTTAATAAGAAATTCTCATACAACTATTACATGAACAGATCAATTCTAATTCGCTGAAAACCTTATTTTAATCTATGGGAATTTTACTGCATTGCTCTTTTAAACTTTGAATTAACGCTGGCATTGGCACTTTTAAAGATTGAATCTTTTCCTCACTAACTATAGTTATATCTTTCTTTATGTCGCTGTGGTATCTTTTAACATGATTATCTAACAACGACTTACGGACAGACATATAAGTACAGTGAACACATTTGAACGGCTTATTCCCCGTGTGAATGGTCTCATGGCAGAGAAGACTTTCTTTTCTCGCTGCTTTATAATCACAGTAGCTACATTTTAAACCATTACCGAGATGTAGGGTTGTAAAATGCTTTTGTAGTTCATATTTATGCCTACAGGAGTATGGACAGACGGTACACTTATATGCATAGTGGCCCTTTTGATGCATAACAAATTGGCATTTAAAGTTAGTTGTGAAACTGCATATTCCACAGTATAAAACCTTATCTGCCTGACTTCTTTTATTGTGTAGAGCGATTTGATCTTTTGTTTTAGTTGAGAAATCGCAGTTAACGCATTTATACGGTCTGTTTTGGCTGCCGGTGTGATGTCTTTGAAAGTGTCTTTGAACTGCCGCTTTAAATTTTGATGTATAACTGCACATGTGGCACATGAAGGGTTTATCTTTGTCATCTGATTCTAGTACTTGAATACTATTCCAGTCTAGGCAATTTGGGTCTAGAGTGTACTGGTTTTGAGTCTGTGTCTCCTTTCTTTCAATACACTCTCGGCTTATGTAATCAGATTTTTCCTCTATATTCTCAATTCTGCTGTGAATGCCTGATCCGTATATTTTATTGTAATGTGTCACTTTATGTTTCTTACTCTCACACATATAAACTGTTTGGAAGTCACAGTGTTCACACTGAATGGGGTTGTCTTGACGGCTTCTCTGCTTATGAATATTCAATCTCCACCGAACCATTGTAGAGAAATCACAAAAATCACATTTATTCGCTTTCTCTGTCACTTCATTGTGTATTTTAGCCAAATGGCGTGTTATATGCCCTTCGAATTTAGTCACAAACGGGCATTTATCGCATTTGTAAAAAACACCTTCGTTGTGAACTTTACTGTGTTTCAAGTAGTTATGTCTGTATGCGGTTGCATAATTGCAGTGTGGACATTTAAACTGCTTTTCCAAGTTATGCTTTCTCTTATGGGCGTTCAAATTCCATTTGAAATACGTCGTGTATTCGCACTTATCACATTTTAACAACGTCATTGAATTCTTCTCTTCTTCGGTCAACACCGTTTCTTTTGACTGATGTTTTATCATCACATGTCGTTGTAAAGACGTTGGGTATTTCGTTGTATAATCGCATACAGTACAAGAGAACGGTTTTGTTGTTTTATGTCCTGCTACGTGCAACTCGAGACAGTTTTTGTACGAAGTCGTATAATCGCATAGGTCGCAGTTTAATAATTTAGATGCTTTGCGCTTTTGATTCTTTCTTCTCTTCGATCTGGAATATAAAATATCTTTGGTTATTTCTAACAGAAAATTATGTTTCATCAATCGTATTATTATTGTCATAATAATTATAATGAATATAAAAATCTGTGTATTATGCCTAAAACGATTTTCTCTTAATTTGTCGCGGTTTTATTTTGATTTTATGTTTTCCAACGTTTATGCTTCCACTGAAAGAATGTTTCAAATTTTGAAACGTAAAAACCTTAAGTCTCCCAAACATGGTGTTTGCTGTTTACAGCGTTTACTTTTAATGCTTTATTCGAAACTTCGTCAGTCGTGAACCTAACAACGATAGTTTTATTAAATACAGTCAATATTCGCGTAAATCTAAGTGAATAATAATAATGTCCTGGTCGCCTATTCAGCCACGGCGGCCAATTTCATTGAGACGAGCCAGATGCACAGGAGATATATAGTGCAGCGGTGTACGCGCAGACATATTAGTGCACACTCTATTCCTGTAAGTCTCATATTACGATGGCACGACTACTCGACACGACCGGTTAGAGTTGACGCGCAGGATCAACACGACACGAGCTCTCCAATGGACGGGTGTGAAACACCGCTAACTTCTCAACTCCGGGCAGTTACTGAGACTTTCTTGACAGAAATACTCAATAACTGAACTTTGCCCGATCTGGAATCGAACCCAGGAGCTCCGGATCTGCGGCCTTACATGCTAGCCACTTTACCACCGACGAAATCAAAGTAAATATTATCTATGTACTAGCGACTCACCCTCGCTTCGGTAGGTACGTTTTAACAGTTAGTATGAAATTTGAATTTCTCGACTTTTCTGTACTATAATATGTATGTATTATACATATAAACCTTCCTCTCGAATCACTCTATCTATTAAAAAAACCGCATCAAAATCCGTTGCGTAGTTTTAAACATCTAAGCATACATAGGGACAGACAGACAGCGGGAAGCGACTTTGTTTTATACTATACAGTGTTACCAATATGTATATCAAACGAATCGGTCAAAAAATTGGAACATGGATAAACCATTTTCGTTTTTTTTATGTCATTGTAGAATATCGTATCCTATCATGGGGTCTTAGCCATCCATCAACGGACAGGGGACTGTGATATTCTTACTTCTTCTTAATCTTCGATTCTTCTTACGTAGCATCTCTGAGATATTCTGATGATATAAAAGGGGATACTTACCATGTTTCTCTACCACCACCATACCCCTAACTAAAATTTGACACAGAAAATTCTGAACTATAATGGAGATTCCAAAATCAACCAAAATTAAAAATAATTTCTGAAATATGGGATATTTTCGTTTTTTTTTATTGATATAAGAAGTACTATTTTTTTAAATTAAATTATATATCATGTATGTTAAAAGACATTTAAGTTTCTTGCCACAGTAACCTTGGGCAAGATTCACACATACCCAATGTTATGGTATATTCAGCCTTGTTTCAGCAACTCGAAGTCTGTGCGCCTATTTTGCGTATTCACAACAATTTTTTAATATTATTTACAAAAATATTATATTAGCTTATGTTTGTTTACCTCCTTTCTACTAGATGTTCTTCTTCTTCAGAACCGTCCACTTCAACTTTGACCCACACACTAGCAAACATACTCATCATGTCCGTCTCCTGCTCTTCGGACTGTATTATATTATCTTCAGATTGGTTTCCATCACTTTTCGCATTCGATTCATCTGCCATTTTGTTTCTATGAAAAAAGTAAAAATAATTTGATATAATAATATTTAAAATAAAATAAATGCATTCATTAATTAAGGAAAAGAGAAACCACAAAGAAATCTAAAATTTATGTTACAATATAAATCTTATATATAAAATTTCCATGTCACAATGTTTGTTACCGTACTCCTCCGAAAGGGCTTTACCGATTTTTACCAAATTTTATATGCGTATTCAGTAGGTCTGAGAATCGGCTACTATCTATTTTCCATACCCCTAAGTGATAAGGGGTGGTCGTCCCAGACCCCACCCCAGAGACGAACCCGAGCGGAGCGAGGGTGAGTCGCTAGTAACTATATATGTACATTCAAGTAAGCTCATTTCGGTTGATTTATATTTTATATATCACATAGAATATCTCATAATGTACTTCAACAAGATATTTTATTATTAACTAGGCCAATTAAAAGTGTGATTATGACACATAAAAATATAATACATATTTGTGATTGTATTATTGATTGAGTGATTAAAAAACAATTTTAAATGTGAAAAAAAATGTATTTCCTGTGGGGTTATTTAAATACTATAATTAATTCTTTCTATGAGATATTGGCAAAGTAAATTGTGCCCAACTATGACTCCTAGAAGGCAAGAAGTATGAATTGAAAAATTAATTCTAAACTTTCTATAATATAATAGATTTTAAAATATTCCGACTTATTTTCGTAGAAATATTACCTTATTTATTATTTTACAATAAATAAGGTAATATTTCTTGCTTTTATAAATAACTGTATCACATAATATTTTATTTATTTATTTATATATATCAACAGCTTATTGTACAATAAACAGCACTTTATGAACAGGTATTTAAAAGTCAAGCTAACAATGTTTAAGTAAACACTACCCTCCGTTCTAGTTTAACTGTATGACGGTAGGATAGTATTCCTCGCACGCATGTCCACTCGTTTATTACAGTATGGGCAAATATTTAAATGAAGCTTCAACTTAATTATCATTTAAAAAAAAAATTTTTCCTTATTTATTCTGTTTGTATATGTTTACTGTATGTATGTATGTATGTGTCCATGTATGTGTGTTTGTTTGTAAGAACATATGTATGAATGTTTGGTTATATATGTACGTTTATATTACAATTATTATATATAATGTATGTATATGGTACTTCAATGTATAAAACAGTAAATATCTCGTATTATTATTGTGGAGCTTTGATTATGTTATGGACAATATTAAATGCCTAACCAAAAATAAGTAAAGGAAAGAAAAGATATATTTTTTAATTCAGTTTTCATCAAATTTTCTGTTTCATAACAAGCTATTAGTTATTTTACTGTTTTATAATGAATTGGAATCCATACTAATATTATAAATATGAAAGTTTGTGAGGATGGATGGATGGTCATTTGTTACTCAATCTCGCCAGAATGGGTGAACAGATCTGGATGAAATTTGCCACAGAGATAGATTATAGTCTGGAATAGCACATAGATTACTTTTTATCCCGGAAGAATGTATGGTTTCCGTGAGATGAATTTGGTGTTTGTCTAGAGACCCGAAACCGAAGCAAAACAGGGGTAATGAGCAAGTATTATATATGAGAATATATATTAGTAAAATTCTAGATCTAAAAGGATAAGAAAATCAAGAAATAAAAATTTGTGTAATTTTTAATTAACTCTACCAATGTTACTTTGCTTTGTACTCACCTATATAAAATCACATAACATTGATATTTAATAAAAAAAACTAAATAAATACTAAAATAATGTTGACTTACAACTTGTACTAAAATTATCTGACACTATTTGAGTCTAATTATGGAGTTACAGCCCACGGACAAACAAACAAATAAACAAAAGCGGCAAACTTTAGCAAAACTTTAAATTATATACGGGTTAATCTACAAATAAGAATATATTAGTTTTACCTGCAAAGTAAGCACAACGTATATATATATTATAATATAAATTGATACGTCATACAAATTTTTTTCAACCGCTATTCAAACATTTGGGGCTATTTTTGGCAACTTAATTACAAGTAGCTGTGCAGAATTTCGATAAGTATTTCGATATTTTACAACATTAAGAGTTTGCAACAATCATTTCTATTTAATAAACTGGAGTACTTACCGTTGTATTTACAAAACAAAGCAAAATAAAAATAGCATTTTTTACTAATCCAATGATGGAAAAAAATCAATTATGCTTTCATACGTTCGGAAATTAATAACACAATAAATATTATCTTTTATTGTCATTTTGAATTAGAAGTTTTAGTTAAATAATTTTATATAAATAATAGGGTGATAATTAAAAACGCGGTAAAATTATAAAAAAACAAAGTTGAATTTATGAAAACCTAGTTTTTGAACAAGATATAAAAAAATATACTATTAGTATTAGAATTTCGGATACTCTGACCTGTATGTATATTTTATATTTCTTCTTATAATAATTTAATATTAATGATCAATTTAAATAAAAATTCACATTCAAATAAATCTTTTTTATGTGTTGTTAAAAGGAGTTGTGTGTATAAAATTTAATAACGTTATAAATTATACAAGTTAACTATCGATTAAGAATCGATTTCAATTTGACTCGTTTATATATACATAGCTTTGTTCACGTATATTTTCATTAATAGCAACACTTGACTTTTGTATTTGTCAAAAACTCAAAACATACGATTCCTGTCTTAGCTATTACTTAATTTTCTTAAGAAATTGGTATTTAAATGTAAAAGATGTATACAGAAGTAGATGTTTTTGTGAGTAACTTTACTCTTATAGATCCTGAAATATATCAATTATGGATCGAAGGATGCTCATGTAAGTTATACGAGAAATATTAATATTTTTATCTCATTGGCTATCTGCCTTAAAATTAACGTTAAATGTATTTTTATGTATTAAAATATTATATTTAATGACAAAAAATTGCCTAGTGACTGCTTATTTCATTGGCAATGACTAGGATGGTGTAGAACGCAAAATTATTGTTGCTGGAATTTGGAAACTGTACTGTGAATATTAGATTACATGATAGTTAGAATGCGCATTATTTAATAATGCTGCTACTATATTTTCTACTACTACTAAATTTCCTCAATATACTGAAGCTATACAAGTTCACATACCTATTTATTTCTTTTATGAATATTCTTAAGCTCAATAGGATTTTATATATTAATTTTTGATGTAGTAGTAAATTTTTAACATAGTTGAAGAATACTTTTATTGGCTATTTAATAATATATTTTTAATACTAATTGATTTTATACAATAACAACATGTTTGGCTCAGTTTGTCCCCTACTTGCTGTGCCAGCGGTCAAGGGTTTGAGTCTTGCTGGGGTCATTCATTTGTGTGATGAGCACGAATGTTTGTACTCCAGTCATGGGTGTTTATATTTATAGTATGTATGTTTTTAAAAAGTTATATGTGTGTGTATCAACTATCTGGTATCCATAACACAAGCCTCATAGCTTACTATGAAACTAGATGATGCTGTGTGGTAATGTCCCAACATATTTATTTATTATTATTGTTTTATTTTGCTTAATATTTTTATTGCGTTCAAGATGAATACTAATTAATTATTAAATTAATTTAATAATTAGTATTAATGAAAAAAATTAAAAGATGTGAAAAGCTTAATTTTTTATTATTAAAATCCATCTTAAAAGAGCTCATTTATTATTATTTAATCATTGAACTTACTTAACATATTAAAAATTAACTTACCAGCAAGCGAAGCTGTTTCTACCCTACATCAAAGGGCAACGTCGAAACAAATGGGTGCTACCGTAGAGCTGATTGCTAGTGATGTCTTAGATCATTACAGGTAACTTACTGCACTATATTTAAATCTAATACATTCCAACTTTTCAACTCTTATGTCATATTCGGTCTAAACAATGGCATTTGTTTCAACTACTTTGAATCTCCCACCTGTTTTTCACTATTTAGTAATTATTTTCTTAAGCAAAAAGAACTAAAAGATTAAAAAATATTAATATAGGCTTAATACAAAAGCAATAAAGATAATACAAAAAAGTTTAATCTTTATTTAAATCACAACCATATTCCCTATTTTTGTATATATTTGACAACATGTTTGGTTCAGTTTATAGTGCTAGTGGTAGTGCTTTTGCTGTGTTAGTGGTCACGGGTTCAAGTCCCGCTGGGGGCATTCATTTGTGTGATGAGCACAAATGTTCGTACTCCAGTCATGGGTGTTTATATTTATAATATGTATGTATTTAAAGTTATAATTGTAGTGTATAAACTATCTGGTATCCATAACACAAGCCTCGTAGCTTACCATGGAACTAGATGGTGCTGTGTGTTAATGTTATAATTTTATGTTAATTTATATGTTAATGTATATAAATTTATTATTGTTTAACTTGGAAACGGCTGGATTGGAAACGATTTGGATCAAATTTTGTATTTAGATTAGGTTTTGCTTTTTAAGTTTATCTATGTAGGTGATTCTGAAAACACAATTTTTCACCAAAAATCTGTTTTAATAAAAATATAATTAAAAATAGTCATTAGTTATAATTTTTATTTTTTAAATTTTATGGCTTTATTTGTCAACTGTTAAAATATATGTCAACTGTTTTTTTTCCAGAACATTTGCCCTTCTAGAAAGACTCTTAACGGTGCCGTCTAAATTGTCCGAGCAGATGATATTTCAAATTGACGAACCAACCAAGCACATGTTGATTGAAAAGTCAGTAATTATAAATGTCTCTTAAGTTATCTATTATATGTTCTTAAATTTGTACTTTAAATATAATAGATTTATTTGGTTTTAACATGGCGGTCTAGATGGTGATTACGTCAGCAATATTTATTTGTTTTAAAATAATTAATTGAAATTTAGTAGATTTTGATTTGTCAAATCAACTTTACTTGTCTCTGTGCTCAAAAGCGAAAAAAAAATTTCGGGGATTCTCCAAAATAATTGAGACGTAACGTTTACGTAAGCATAGGAGAGGGACAGGGAGTGCTTTATTACTTAATACTATCTTTTCGGATTATTTCGCGGATTTATTTTGATTTTTGGTTTTTTTTTTGGTTCCCGACGTTTCGAATGCTTTACAGCATCCATGGTCACGGGAGAGACTGAGGTGTTACATGTCTTGAATGTATAGTTGTTACAGTATATATAATCCGCGAACTAATCCGAAAAGATAGTATTATTTAATAATGTCAAACATTCGCGTAAATCTAAGAAAGTATTAGGGAGTGCTTTGCTTACTTTTGCTGACAAGGGTTAATAATAACTAAAATCTTACCTACATAATATTTGAATGGTCCCAGGTGTATATTCCTTAAAGGAGTAGGATAGTAATTAAACATTTGATGTGGGAATTTAAACGAGCAACTGTTGACATTTTTCAACTTTCGGGCTCTTCTCAGCAGAACAGTCTTCTAAGCTGATGATAGGTTCTTTGAAGACTTAAAATAAACATTGATGACATCAAAGCAAATTTGTAAAAGTATTTCTTAATGGACTTTATTTTGTGTTCGACTTTAATTGTTTATATTTTTTCAGATATTATGACTTGGATGACGCCGTTATAAGGGAGCTGTTGGGGAGAAAGTTGTCCTCGCGCCATAGAAAAGATTTGGATGAGGTTAGTTAAGATTTTTTTTAAATCTTATAACATTATTATTAGTGCAAAAGTTTGTATGTATATTTGCCATCCCTTTTGCCATGCTATTGTGTAAAAACAGGCAGCGATAGCCCAGTTGTAACGCGCTCGCTTGGGAAACCGAGTAAAGCGGATTCAAATCCCGGATCTCGCACCTTTGATATTCTCATGTGTCATTCATTTCCAACATGATCACCACTTGCCTTACGGTGAAGGAAAACGCCAGGAAACCTGCATGTCTGAGAGAACCTAGCAAGTTGTTTGCAGATATGCTCAGTCCGCCCGCACTTGGCCGGCGTGGTGGACTATGGCTTTATCCTAGTATTGAAAGGAGACCCACTCCCAGCAGTGGGACGTTAGAAAGGGCTGAATACTAGTATAAAATTAATAATAATATTAAAATTAATATTGTTTTTAGGTAGCAGAGAGGTCCGGAGCGCCTCTTAGATGTTGCAGGCGACAGTTCGACAATGTAAGACGAGTGTTCAAGGCCGTGGAAGAAATGCCTGGGAACGTGGTCGCCAATATACGTTCCACTTTCCTCATATCGGAACCTCTTGCCAAGTATGTCTGTATGTTTATTACTAGCGACTTACCCTCGCTCGCTTCGCTCGTTTGCATTCCTAGGTGATTGGATTTTGTTTAAAGGTTTTATTTTTTTTGTCCTAATTCTTTTTCTGAAATAAAAGTAGCCTAAGTTACTACTTATAACATCAGCTATCTGTCAGTAAAAGTCCCGTCGAAATCGGTCCAGCCGTTTTGGAGACTTGCCGGAACAAACTTTACTGGCGTTAGGAAAGCTACCAGTCGGCATGATTTTTTTCGACATCTTCAATAAATATCGTCGTATTTCAAGCAATTTACACAAAATCGTAATGAATTATATATGTAAACCTTCTCCATGAATCACTCTGTCCATTAGTGAAAACTGTATGAAACTCCATTCGGTAGTTTTTGCGTTTATCGCGTTCAGACATACAGACGCGGCGGGGGATTTTTTTGTGTGTTTTATAATATGTAGTGAGTGATATTTCTTTCAGGAAGTATGGAGCGGTTGTCTTCATAGCTTGTATGAGATTCGAAACTGCCAAGCGTAAGCTGCAATATTTGTCCTTCAACGATTTCTATCATTGTGCACAAGTATGTTTGTTTATATACATATATTTTCCGTATTTACTACTAAACTACTAAATATGGGAACAACGCCATCTATGAATAAACAGTTCAAACTCCTTAGCAATTGGTCGATTTTTCAAAAATTAGCAAAGTTGTTAAATTTTTAAAAGTCCTTTTTTTTACACATTTTTTTTATTTATGTGAGTTTTTTTAAATTGGAGTACAATTTAGGATTTATGTATAAATAAATATTTCTTTTTTTTTACACAACAATTATTATTTATATGTGGGTTATTTGATTGGAGTACAATTTAAGATTTAAATTAAAAAACTAAATAAATGTAAAAACCAACTATTCAAAAGCTTGTAAATATGTAAATGTCTTTAAAAAAATATAATATATGTTGACATTTTTAAATAAAACTATCTTTTCGGATTTTTTCGCGGATTTATTTTGATTTTCTCGCTCCCGTGACTCCCGTGATGGTTGCTAATACATTCGAAACGTCGGGAACCAAAAATAAAAAATAAATCCGCGAAAAAGTCCGAAAAGATAATTTAAAATTTTATTTAAAATGTCAAATATTCGCGTAAATTTAAGAAAATATTAATATACTTTGATTTGATATATATTTTTCAGGCGATAATGGGAAGTTGGACTTATAGTTGTACGGGACCGGAGTATTATGATACAGAGATGGACAGGGAGTTTCTGTTGGAGTTGAGGGAGTTGAGAATACTCTTGGATAAGGAGAAGGAGCATAAACAGTGAGTCAGTTAGTTTTGAGTTATATCGGGTGTTATATGTGTTTTTAATGTATTACATGATTTCTATTTCATTTCAAATTTTAAATTATTTATTTTTTATAATTAAATGTGTCAATGAAAATGATTTAAAGTTAAATTGATTGAAATTAAATTATCTGTATTTACAGATAGATTTGGAAATAGAATGAATACTATATATGAGTGTGAGTTTTAATGAGTTGGTTATGAGTCATGTAGGTAATACTTTTGTTGTTAAAGTAATGATTTTGTTCTACTGTAATATTTTTAGGGTAATATTGTTAATATTTTACTAGCGATTCACTCTCGCTTCGCTTGGGTGCTCTAGGCTCTAGGTTTTTTTGAGCGGAACCCTAATTCTTTTCCTAAAATAAAACAAGCCTATGTTACTTCTTATAACATCTGCCAGTCTGCCAGTGAAAGTCCCGTCAAAATATAAGTTATCTGCCAGTGGAAGTCCCGTCAAAATCAGTCCAGCCGTTTCGGAGATTAGCCGGAACAAACAGACAGACAGACATAAGTTTTAAAAATTGAGTTTTGATTATAAGTATCGTATATAATTTCATATGCATATAGTAAAAATCTGTTATTTTAATATTACAAACAGACACTTCAATTCTATTTATCTTTAAGACTAGTGATTTAGGTTCATTTGAGCCCGTTCCTATGTACCTTATGGTAGCTATCCTAACAGTAGATATAGTATCTGTGCACTTTTCATCCAAATCTGTCTAGATGTATCAGCGTGATGAAGTAACAAACATATAAACATACAAACTTTCGCATTTATATATTACTAGCGACTCACCATCGCTTCGCTCGGCTTCGTCCCTAAATTGCTTCCCGATACAAACTTTCACCCCCTTAAGGGATGATTTCCGAGATAAAAACTATCCTATGTCCTTCCCAGCGCCTCAAACTATCTTCTTACCAAATTTCATCTAAATCGGTTCAGTAGTTTTGGAGCCTATTTGATACAAACAAACAAACAAAAAAATAAAATTTTCCTATTTATAATATTAGAATAGAAGAATAAATAATAATATTGTAATTTCATACATATATGTATATATTTATATTTTCAGCTTAATATGTATGCGTTTGAAGCCAAAGTTGCTAGAAAAGTCATATCAAGAGTTGGAGTTGAACTTTAGGTGAGTTAAAGTTTTTTATATACATTCTACACCCTACAATTTTTACTTGTTTTTTTTTTAATCGGAGACCTACAAAGGATCAATGATTTGGAAGAATAAGAGGAATGACACCGAAATATGTACATTTTTTTTATCTAGTGTATTGTTAATTTAATTTATTTTTAAAATAATTCTAATTAGGGTATATGTTATATAATATTTAATTTTTGAACTGTTTATATTTATCTGGTTTTGACATCTATCGGCACTCTGAGTGTTAGCGTTAACACGTCACGTGACCATGTCGATGACGACTTACATGAATTTACCTAAACAAACCTGCGTATAGAAGTTTTCATTTCAAAAAAATATTAAATATTGGTTGCCATTATTATAATAATACTCATTTAAATGAGTTTTTCAGTGTTATAATCGATTTTTGTTGAAGATTGTACACGAGGGCGTTGGTGGGCGTGGCTTGCAACTTGCACAGAGGCAGGGAGCTGCGATCTCTCTTCACAGACTTACTTGAGAAGTGAGTTCTTTTGAAATTTTTAAAAATGAAAATTTTTCAATGAAAATTTTTGGGAAAAAATTCAACATACATAAATAACAACGGTTACCATGGCAACAAACAGTTTTCAGCTAACTTCATCATGTTGCTTTTTGGCTGTCGGTGTGCGCGCGCATCGGACATATTTTACTCTCATAATTTTTTCTAAACGTCACAATAGAAGTATAACTTCAAACGATGAATCTTTAAAAACGATGAAGTTAGCTGCATTCCTTTTACAAACAGAGAGTTGTGACATACGGGATGAAACCTTTAGCTATTTTTGTTCTGTTACGCCAAAGAAGTATAACTTCTCACGTGCGTACATAAGTACACACACACATGTTTTTTTTTGTATGTATAATAGATGTGTTATTTTTGTCATGCAAGGTGTATCGAACCGTTGAGGATGGGTTGCTGGCCTAAAACTGATTTGGCTCAGTTCCTCTGCGCGTATGAACAGTGCGCTCTGCAAATGGACGTTTTGAGGTAAATATTACCGAATAACAAGACATTTTTTTTTAATTTGTACTTTAAAAATATAACTAGGTATAAATATCGATTCGCATTTTGAAGTTATGGGAGTATCCATACACTTAAAAATGAACATTTAAATCTAGTAACTGATCCCATTTTAAAATTTATTGACAAAATGTACTAGTGATGAATTTTATATGTACATGTATGTATCAGGGCTTGGAACCGGTTTAAAAAAAACGATTAATTTTGGTAATGTAATGGTTAATTCATCATCATCGTTCGTTTATTAACCGGTTAAAGAACATAACCGAAACCTTAACCGAAAAGTCTTGGTTTGGTTTGGTTTCGGTTTAAAAATTGAACGAGTTTCCGAGCCCTGGTATAAATAAATGATGTGTTCATTATACTTATAATTATGTATCAACTGATATATATTTTTCGAAATGTGCATGCACGATTGTTTGTTTAGAGACGGACGCCTAAGAAGGACTGGGGTATTTTTTTTAATGGGAAGGTATTTCTTATTTCGGGACTAAGTTTTAAAAATTGTCTTTGCCCACATTATGTCGCTTGTAAAAAAATACTAAAAATTATTTTGAGTACAATGTTGAATTAATAAATATTTAATATTTATTAATTAATGTTTTTTCTTTCCACAAAAATGTAATGAGTAGACAAAAAATATGCTAAACTGTTAGTTTCTAGCTCGAAAAGTGGTGCAAAAGTCTCTTTTATAGAATTAAAAGTAGTTAAGAATGAGATAGAGATAGTAGTTGTATGTCTCGCTCACTCTGTGACGTCTTTTTCTTTGGCTAGCGTATAACGGGGATCAGATTCCTCTCCGGCAAGCTTTGGAACTAACTTTAAACTACATTTACTATGGTGGCTTGTTTTTTTTTCCAATCAATTTTTTTATGAATATTTTTTCTAACATGATTATTACCATTTGGATTATGGTGAAGGAAAACACCGTGAGGAAACCTGCATGTCTGAGAGAACCCAGCAAGTTTTCGAAAGACATGTGAAGTCCGCCTACCCGCACTCGGCCAGTGTGGTGGACTATCGCCTGATCCCCCCAGTATTGAAGGAATGCCCACGCCCAGCAGTGGAACGTTAAAAAGGGCTGAATACCATTTTTCTTAATTTCATTAACTCTAATTTCAAAAACAGCCGCTAAGGAAATCTAATTACTACGAATAGGATTATATTTAGTATAAAACATGCAGAGCCAGATTTATAAGTGAGGGCAATCAAAAAGTGAGAGGTCTTCATATATATATATATATATATATATATATATATATATATATATATAATATATATATATATATATATATATATATATATATAAATTGGACAACTTCTTTGCTATTTTTTGGTTGTTCATGTCACAAGTATTATTATTTTCAATTTATAAGGAGACACATAACCGTACATACTTACTATTTTTTTGTGTGCCAAAATGCGAATTAGAAAATAAAACATTTATTAAGATCTGCGAGTTAAACTCACACGTGGTCTCTTTACTCGCATCTATAATTCCGGACCTACTAAATATGTCTATTTAAAAGAATAGTTTATTAAAATTTAATTTTGTTTTCAGAGAAGCAGATTTAAAAAGTGTATGGGAGCGTTATATGAGAGTCGTTAGTCAGTGTCTCTTGACTATGTATCATCCATAAATTCGTTTTTCTATAAAAGTTTTATTATCTGTATCTATAATACTATTTATCATCTGTGGAAAACTACAAGTAATTCTAGATTTTTTTAATACTTTGTATGTTTTGTAATTAGCATTTTAAATACTCTGTAAAGTTATTGTTGTATACGAGTATCCTATTTATTGAATAAATCGATTTAAATAATCACTTTGTTTATTTTTACCTATACTCATTTTTAAGTTAGTTTTAGGTCTATCTATCGAAACTATTCATTTTGTGCTTTACAGCTATTTATTTTGAAATATATTTATACAACCATAAATTTTAAGAAAAAGTTAATGGACTATATAGCAAATAACGAGACAGCATTAAAAATTTGTGCATACTAGTCTACACTAATATTATAAAGAGGAAAGATTTGTATTTTTGTATGTTTGTAACGAATAAACTCAAAAACTACTGGACCGATTTAGATGAAATTTAGTAAGAAGATAGTTTGAGCTCCTGGGAAGGACATAGGATATTTTTTATTCCGAAAATCATCCCTTAAAGGAGTGAAAATAGGGGTGCTACGAGTGGCTTACCCTAGCTTCGCTCGGCTACGTTCCTAAGTGCCTAACAATAGCATAAATCGTACCCTAGGTCATACATATGTACTAAATTAAGATCCAAATTCGTTGTCTTTCAGCGTGAAAAAAAATAGCACAAAAACCATTCGCTTTTAAAAGTTAGATAAAATAAGCAATAGGAATTAAAAAGAAAAAAATAACAGGAATATTTTAAACAATTTATTAAATATCGTCACTAAAATACAGAGTGACCGTATCACAAAACATAAGTACTTAATACTTTGTACATCGGGATACAGATTAAATTATTGAAAGAAAAATAGTGTTATTTCAGAAAACTTATACAATTCAGTCAACATTATTAAGAAAAATGAAATGTACAAAAAATTTGGTTTAAAAATTTTTGCCAAAAATTTCCTGAAAAAAATTTTTTTGACAAAAAAAAATCTGGATTTTTTTTCTTTCAAAGATTTTTTTATAGAAGCAATAGAAATATTTTTTTAGAAGCATACAAGTTTTCTGAAATAATACAGCTCTATATACATCTATTACATTGATTGCTTATAAAATACTCTATAAAAACAATCACTACCATAAGTACTTGAAATTGTCAATACCAATTATAATTAAATTTATACAACTAAAAGAGTCAAATGAGAGGAACATTGTTGCCAATAGTAAGAAAACTCTTTTGAAAAGAGATTATTTTTAATGGTAATACTTGACAATTTTTCATGATGTCAGTTTTGCTTTGGAATTCGGAGTAAAAACAGATACCAGACATAAAAAAATTTGAAAAAAAAAATCGTATGTATTTTTACAAAGAAATAAAGTCATAATTGTAATGACACCAAAAATCTTTGGTTCGTTCTATTGTAAAAAAAAAAATGTTATAAAATATTTTTTTCCTTTCAAGAAAAAAAATGTTATAATCTAAGCTATAGAGTTATTTATAGTTTACAACCTAATTTTCCATTTCTGGCGAACTACATGTGGAGCAATGTACAGACGTGACAATTTTAATATTAATCATACTTGATTTTAAATAATATTAAACTTAACAGGCATTAGAAAAAGGCATTTAGAAAAAAAATACATGAAAAAAATTCAAAATTTTTCAACAATATTTCTTTTTCTGAACGTTTGTCCGTCTGCATAACTGCATTTAAAGTAATTTTTTATAGCTGCACTAATATACTAAAATATCTAACTACGCATGTAATCACATAATCGAGTCATAAAAGCTACGTGTGAAATGCTTTTTTTAAATTTTTTGTATTTTTTTTCTTTGGGAATGTGATTTATGCCTTCTTAAACGTCCTACAATTTCACCCCAATCACACTTATTTTGTTAATATTTTTTTAAATATTGCTAAAATAACACAATAAAAACAGTATTCGAGAAATGTTACCAGACCATAATTAAAACGAAATAAACTGTTTTATATATTTTTTAAAAACCATTTCCGCATGTATACAGATAATTTCATTTTTTTATAATCTAGCAACACCCAAGGCACGTTTTCATTAAAAATTTTACGCTAGAAAATTTTGGTGCCGAGAATATTAAGATATGCGTGCATATTTCGCGTATATTTTTAAAATTTTCAAAAATTTATTTCAAAGTTTACATCGTATTTTTTTATTTTTACCCTTTTTTTTCTATTAAATCAACTAAATAAGTTAACAGTTGAGTATTCTTATTGTTTCAATTGATTTCAAGTAATTTAAAGGAATGTTTAAAAAAAATTGTGCGATAATACTGCATTTTTTATCAATAGGTTGAGTACTTTTTTTTTAATTTATTAATAATTTTTTAATATAAATCGTAAATTATTTACAATTAAAACTTATTTAATATTCGAAGCGAATAAATGTCCGACGTATTTTGACAAATTATATATACACAAATAATTTCTAATAAATAATTTAACTTTCCGTAAAAAACATCTATATAATATACATAAATAACCATATGCCTAAATTACTGGCTGTAATATGAAAAAAAAATTGGCAATCAAATCGTGTGAAACCGTCACATACCTAATAAATACCAAACTTTTTCACTGTACTCTTTACCATCACGTTCTTATACAGGGTGTTAAAAAAAATCACAACGAAGTATAAAATTAACAAAAAAAAAAATCACTAAAAACGCATGAATTATGCATTTTTTTTTCAATATCTATCAACTTTCCATACACAGGCTGTTCTAAAATCACAAAGTCCTTCCAAATCCTCGCACAACGACTATATCGTTCACAAACCTGTCGTTTGCGCCACTCATATGTCCACTTCGCAAATTTTCCTTTTCTGCGGAAAACCGAATTTGTCCTTTTTGATAACCTCCTGTTTTAGACGTTGGTATGTGTCTAGTCTGGATATAGCGTATTCCTGCAGATAAAAACAACTAATGAATAAATACATATGTTGGGACATTAACACACAGCACCATATAGTTCCATGGTAAGCTACGAGGCTTGTGTTATGGATACCAGATAGTTGAAACACTACACATATATAACTTTAAATACATACATATTATAAATATAAACACCCGTGACTTTAGTACAAACATTCATGCTCATCACACAAATTAACGCCTCTAGCGCGACTCGAATCCGCGACCGCTGGCACAACAAGTACAACTGAGCCAAACGTGTCGTATAAATCTCTTATTTAATTTCTTTCCGTACACAGGCTGTTCTAAAATCACAAAGTCCATCCAAATTCTTAAGAAGGTTTATTTGTTATTCGTTCACGCTATAACTGGGCGTGTTTTGATGAAAAAAAAAACGAAAAAAAAAATATAAAAAACAAACTCACCCAATATCCGAAGGGGATTTGGCTTTTTGACGCATTTACGATCGACCATAGACACCAGAAAAGATGGCTCGCTAGGGCGAAGGCGTCCACTTCATTTAACAACTGGTTTATCTCCTCTATTGTTGGTTGAACGTCTTTATCTTCAGATAAATTGGCGTGGTAATGTTTCAAATACTCCTTGATGAAAATTTCCTAAAAAATAAACCATTTTTGTGCACATGTTTCAGGGAAAAGAAGAAAAACAGGGTGTTGCGTTTTTTTAATATTTTTCGTGTAAAAATTTTTGGTACGTTAAATCAATTGAATAACAAAAAAACTTTATAAATGGCATAAATCGTTTCGTTATTATCATCAAAAACAAAAAAAACTGCGATTCATCTGCCATTACATAAAAAAATTACCATGTGTGGAAAGAATTCGAGATATTAATCTATTTGAAAACCATAGAGAATTTTGAATTCAAAAAAAAACTCTTTTTCCCTTTCGACACGTGTTCATCATTTGCCGCGACGGTATATTTTACCATAGACAAGACTCCAGTTAATAGGTAAATATCCTGTCCACAGACTATCGTCCTTTAACTGCGTCGGCCATTTTTAAACAGCTGCTAGAAACCAAGCATAAACAAACACAAGCTGGGTAGTGATTGTTTTAACGCTATTATACTATTAATTATGTCAATATTCTTTAAAAAAATATGGAAAATCTATTATTCACCAACTTCCAAAAATGAGTACTTCTATGTACGTTTTTTCTTTTTTTTAAAGGCATCCATTTTTTCATTTTGACATAACTAATATTTTTTCAATTGCGTTCACATCTTCATGACAGTAAAATATATTAAATGAATTAGCGTGTTTTTTAATGTAAAAACGTTTTTTTATATATTCCATATTGGCCTTTATCAAATAGCCGTTTTTTTTTAATTAGGAAAGTATATAAAAATGTACCAATTATTGCAGAAAAAAAAATAGATTTTACTAACCAAACAATTTGTGTCGAATTTAGCAAGAAAAAAACTCTTACTTGGTTAACCGGTCGTATATTCATAAATTAAAAAAAAACTGGTGTCATGGTGTTTGAAAATGCACTCCAATATAACCCCTTCTAATCAATATATAAATAAAGACATTTAATTTTATGTAAAAAAAGTGTATTGATACATTTCTACATAATATTATATATTAAAAAATTTACGATTATTTTAAATATTATAGAAAAAAATTAAATGAAGTATTTTCATGATGTTTTTGACATTTGATAAAGGCATATCGCAATTGAATGGGTAATTATTACGAACCTCACCACGTAATGGCGGTCAGACCGTCCGTTTTCTGGAACTTTAAAAAACATGATCAAAGCTTGAGCGTGTCAGCGATTTTGTATGAAAAAATGTACAAAAAATATTTTAAAGTTAAAAAAAAACAATTTTTACACTAAGACAAAATTTTATATGTATATACAAAAAATATTTTTGCGTACAAAAATGTACCAAAAATCCAGAAAAAAAAGAAAAAATATACAATATCGCTCGTTCTTTACGCTTCGTTGACAATATAAGGTGTCCTTATAAAGCTATTTGACGCAATTTTCTAAGCCGTGATTATTATTTTTTTAAAGCCAAAAGTATGTTAGTATGTGTTTTGCTTTTAAAATTTATGCGATCTCAAATTTCGATGAATATAGAGAGGTAGTGTATTTAAATATTATTTTATCAATTTTTATAAAATTATAATTTATATAATGTAATTTTTTTCAACATAAAAAAACCCACAAAAAACACCACGCTTATAAAAAAATATATACCAAAAACCGTCATCAAACACACTACCCCCCTGGAGAATTATTAAAATATCATTAAAAATAACCGAAAATCCATCAAAAACTTATCAAAAACCTACCTTTTGCTCAAGTGTGGGGCTATTCTCTTGATTTTCATAGTAAAATGGATGTTCCGGGTTCGTATAATCATACGACCACTCTTGGAAATGGTTGGCGATGTCGAAACCACGGTAATTGTATGCACAATATTCAAAATCAATCAAAACAAGCTTAGGCTCGCCAGAATCCGAAATATGACTGATTATAGAGTCCGACGTGTTCGTATCGTCGAACTGAGTTAAGACGAATTCACTCTTCTTCGGTTCGTCGTATGTGAATTCGTCGTCTGAAGTCGATTGTACTTCGTCTTCTAGCATTAGGATGTTGCCTAGAAAAAAAAAACAATTAATTATAAATAGAAAAAAAAAATAAAAAAATGATGACAGATTTTTTTATCACGCTGTTTATGTTTTAAATCTGAAAAAATTAGCTTTCTTCTGTGAGTTTGACAGTACTCCTCTACAGGTCGTATTTTACAACCGATTTGGACGAAACTTGATACTTTATAGACTTTATAGTTTTTTTTGTCGTCGGAGGTTTGATTGGAGGGGTACTTCCTCCAAAAACGATCAAAAAGCCACCTTTTCCTTACATTTTTCCTACTGGATATCTCCGCCTTATGAAATCCGATTTCGATAGCTATTTTTTTTATTTGAAAGGTATAAATTGGTATAAAGGTAAAATTTGGTATAGATCTGATGAGTATCTTCGGCGTGATGAGCAGAATAGCTCCACAGAATGCAGTTTGTGTCCACGAGGTATACTGTTCGCAGGACTACTAGTTTAAAATATACGTTGAAGTTTTTAAAAATAACTTAATATAGATTAAAAACTTTCACATTCCAAAACGCTTTGGAAAAAAGATTTATAATCTGTACACACAAATTAAAAAAAAACGCATTTTTAACAAAATAATTTTTAAATTAAAAACATAAATATAATTACCCATACCTTCCTGCATATCATTATGACAGAAAACAACAGGAGACTCCACTGTAGCTAAAAACTTTTTTAACCACTCCACTTCTTTATCAAAATCTATTGATTTCAGCTGTTTTATTATATTTTGCTCTTCTTCGTTCTAAACGAATAAAAAAATCATATTATTCAGAGAAATTCCAAATTAAAAAATATGTTGGTACTTGGGAGATTAACACACAGCACCATCTAGTTCCGTGGTAAGCTACGAGGTCTCTTTTATGGATACCAGATAGTTGATACACTACACATATATAGCTTTAAATACATACATACATATTATAAATATAGACACCCATGACTGTAGTACAATCATTCGTGCTCATCACACAAATGAATGCCTCCAGCGGGACTCGAACCCGCGACCGCTGGCACAGTAAGCAGGGTCACTACAAACTGAGCGAAACGTGTCGTCAAATTATAACAAAATAAAAAATAAATAAAGTGAAACCCTTTACAGTGCTGTATAATTAAAAAAATCTTTACTTGGAAAAAAAATATTTACTACCACGAAAAAAAGTACCACATATTTTCTATAGTTTTATTTAAAAATTCTACTATTTCTACCAAACGAAACATCACTTTCTACTAAATCCTACCATTTTCTACCATACCTTGGCAGTCACGTTGGAAGACAGCCTGTCCTCTTTCACCGTTTTCATCCATTTCCCCATGGTTTTCCACAACCAGTTAGGCTCTTTGGACAACGGCACGTCCATGGAGTGTATGGCGGCCATTTTCTCCGCTATTTTCATTGACAACGCCGGCTCGGACAGTTCTTTTGTTAAGAGAGATCTCGCCTGAAAACAAAAGTACAATTCGATTTTATTGTTTATTTTATAATTTATGACAAGTGGTTATAAAAATTCAACTCATTTTAGGGCAAAATAGTTTACAATGACGACACGCTTTGCTCAGTTTGTAGTGACACTACTTGGTGTGGCGGTCGCGGGTTCGAGTCCCGCTGGGGGCATTCAACTATCTAGTATCCATAACACAAGCCTCGTAGCTTACCATGGAACTAGATGGTGCTGTGTGTTAATGTCCCAACATATTTATTTATTTATTCAATATTATTCTTTAAAAAAAATATTATTATTTAGATATAGTTAAATATTACCAACTATTATTTAAATGTGAAAATGTTGTGAATAAAAATTGTTATGTAACATATTTAACTGCAACTGCTGTGTGGAAGCACCATAACACAGGCCACATCTACTTACCGGTATATACTGCTCGATCCTGCCACCAGAGAACACGCCGTGCAGTTTGGGCCCCAGCCGCCTCTCCGAGAGCAGCGTGAAGATGACCGACTCCGTAACTATCGCGTCCATTGCACGCTCGCCGTGAACTTGTCCGTATATCCGTAATAATACCTATTGAAAAATAATAATATACAATCTAAATATATAAACATAGGTATGATGAGTTTTATATCCCTCATTTGTGAAATAATTGATTCCCCATACACATTTCCACCCATTTTTTACCCTCTTAAGGCCTTTAAAGGGATGATTTCCAGGATAAAAACTATCCTATGTCCTCCCCATGGTCTCAAACTATCTCCATACCAAACATCTAACTGAATTAGGACGAGACGTTTATTTATAAACCGATTATCATCTGTACAGACAAATAAATTTGTAATGTTAAAATAACAGCTTTTACTTACAAAATAACATGGTAGCCTCTGATGAACAAATAATATTATATGGATTAGAATAAAACCTCTTAAATTCAGTTAGAACACAGTATAAAAATCCATCTAATAATGCAAAGGCAAGGGTTGTGAAAAAAGGCAAAATTTCGGGGTTAAAACACTGTAGTGCCATCTCGTAGCGTTATACTTATGACGGGTGGCAACCCTAAGACCATCTCCCGACTGACATATAAAAGTATGGATGCCAGTCGGGAGCGACTTGGAGACGATTGCCCAGTATATATTAGTAGACTGCTGAAGAAAATGACTTGTTTAATCACGCCCAACATTTTTCTAACAATCGTCAATTTCTTTTTAATGTAATAAACCTATAAAAATATTCATAATATGTATATTAAATTCTGGTTTCCAATGGTAAGAAGTTGAAAAGAAGTGAACGTTACGAACATATGGGAATTTTCCATATGTTCGTAACTCTTGTCCTCTTAAACGGTTTGATCGATTCGGAGGATTTCTTTTTTGTTGAAATAAAATATCTCGAACAGTCATTTGGAAAAATTAATTTAAAAAATAAAAACAAAAAATAATCCAAAACCTATAACAGCAAACTGAAATTACAAAGAAGCTATATTATTTCAAGTAGGTTAACGTATATAGTTTAACACAATAGTTTTACCTTTTTGGGTTCATCCAAGGAGAAGGAATGCGAGCTGAGCAACGGTTTCTTATTGATACGAGCCTCCTCAGTCTCCGGCGAGTTCTCTCGCGCGTAACTGCTAAGTTTCGATGTGTCTGATGGCAGCGCTACGTAGTACAGAAAATTCGATAGACCTCCGCTGGAAAATAAAATCTAGATTAGCGTTTAGATAAAATATTATATAAATACTAGATATTTACCCTTGCTTCGCTCGAATCCCTATGTACCTAACAGTAACCTATGTTTAGGTGGTCATAGTCAATCTGTGTACATCCAAATCAGTAGAGCCGTTACAGCGTGATGGAGTAACAAACACATACATAAACAAACACACATACATACACACACACACACACACAATTTCGCATTTATTATGGTAATCCTAAAAGAAATAATTAATTATATAATACCCTTAATTAATAAAATGATTTTGATTGACTAAATGTACAGGCATAGGTCCCATCAAAACGAAACAAATGAGACCAAACTCGAAGTTGTTACTAGTAGCTACTGAAGAGTGCCATTGTCCACCTTCTGACTCCATCATCAGGTCAGCTCAAATGGTATCAAGTTATAGTATTATCATCTCGATTTCACATACGTGTATATGAAATCTAGATATATGATGAAGAGAAATCTGATGAAGAGAAATCGAGAAGAAAAAAATAAATTATACCATAAGAATGGCCCGTTTTCCTTTTTTTACCCCCGACGCAAAAAGAGGGGTGTTAAGAGATTGACGTCGATGTCTATCTGTGTGTGTGTGTCTGTCTGTGGCATCGCAGCTCTCAAACGGATGGACCGATTTCGATGCGGTTTTTTTCGTTTGAAAGCCAGTTTCCTTGCGGTAGTTCTTAGATGTGTTTGGTTAATATCGACCCAGCAGTGTAAGAGTATCAGCTCTTTTTCAAAATGATGTAAGGCATTATGGCGTATGATTACTCGATTAAGTGCTTCACGCGTGCCAGTGTAATCGTTAAATGACAATTAATTTGCGTAGGGGGTTTTTTAAATTTTTAATTTATAATTATTAGAATAAGATAAGTAAAACCTTCATTTTATAAAGTTCACTGCGCATCTAGTCTATATGTAGGGCAGTGGAAAATTATATTGATAACAATACGATACGCCACTCTACTGTATTTTGTGATAAATGTCGTACGAAAATACTATCAACTTGTAAGGTTATCATTGAAATATATATATATATATATATATATATATATATATACTAGCGACTCACCCTCGCTCCGCTCGGGTTCGTCCCTGGGGTCGGGTCTGAGAGGACCACCCTTATCCTTATCACTTAGGGGTATGAAAAATAGATAGTAGCCGATTCTCAGACCTACTGAATACGCATATAAAATTTGGTAAAAATCGGTAAAGCCATTTCGGAGGAGTACGGTAACAAACATTGTGACATGGAAATTTTATATATATATATATAGATTCAGCTTGTAATACTCGTCTATCCATTATTAAATTATTGTATGAAATAAATAAAAATTATATATAAATTATCAACGTCCAGACAAAATTCAGTGGGCCTTGTGATAACGCGCTCGCGTGGAAAACCAAGTGAAGCGGGTTTAAATACCGGGTCACGCAGGTCTGTTATTTTTATGTGCGAATCATTTCTAACATGATTACCACTTGTCTTACGGTGAAGGAAAACATCGTGAGGAAATCTATGTTTTGATCATAAAATCTTATTTAACATCGTAAAAGACTTACAAAACTTTAGAAATTTAGCATATTTTTTTTTCATATTTATACTTTGACAACCACTGCTAATTTAATATTAATAAAATGTTTGGTATATTTTCAAAATAATAAGGCCAACGGTTAATATAGATATGTTAGTATAGATGAGATATTTTCCCGCAGTAAAAAGTATCCTATATGTTGACCCGGATAACCAGCTATCATTATACCAAATTTCATCAAAATCTGTTCAGTGGTACAATACAGAGAGAACCTAATTGGATTTTTTAAAGATTTGTATGTGAAGTCCGCCAACCCGCATTTGACCAGTGTGGTGGACTATGGCCTGATCCCCTCGTATTAATGAGATAAATTTACATAAAAAATATATAAGTCATGTAATATGCAAGTAAAAGTGTACATAGCATTATAAATCATACTTCAAAGTACCTAAGCAAAAAGAAATTCTCATTAACATTTATAATTTCCCATTTCTTTTATAAATGCGAAAGTTTGACTGTATGCGTGCGCGCGCGGACCTCTGTGTACGTGTGTGTGTGTGTGTGTGTGTGTGTGTGTGTGTGTGTGTGTGTGTGTGTGTGTGTGCGTGTGTGTGCGTGTGTGTGTGCGCGCGTGCGCGCGCATGTGTGTTTAATACTCCTTCACGTTGAATCACCTGGGTGGATTTGGATGAAATTTAATACACAGATAGATGAGAACTGGAGTCTAGGGATGTACCCGAGCGAAGTGATATACATACGACTTACTTATTTAATAAATTATTTCCTAAGACAGAAAGTGAATCTAAAAGTAATAAATAAGGTAGGGTCTAACAGACTCTAACATTCTTCAAAACTAACTCACACAAAGAATCAGGAAGAAAACGTAACAAAGCTATATATCCCACAAAAAGTAACCAAAAAAAACGTTTTAATTCTTTTCATAGACAAACTTTTTGCTAATCAAAGTTCTAAAGCTAAACTTCTTGTGATAAGAAGAAAAAACATACACAAAAGGTTAAAAACTGATATTTTTAATGTTAAGGCAACAAGTAAGTGACAGAGTTAAGAGTTACTGAACACAAAACCAAGGAATTCAACAATAATTATATATCAAAGACTAGTCGACCCAACATTACTGGTATTCTTCTGTCAAAATTGTGATAAAATTATTTGTGATCTTTAAATAATAAATAAATAAATATGTTGGGACATTAACACACAGCTCCGTCTAGTTCCATGGTAACCTACGAGGCTTGTGTTATGGATACCAGATAGTTGATACATTACACATATATAACAATACATACATATTATAAATATAAACACCCAGACTGGAGTACAAACGTTCGTGCTCATCACACAAATAAATACCCCCAGCGGGACTCGAACCCGAGTTGAGACGAAAAATCTATAGAAATTAAAAGTTCTATCTCCAAAATTACCCCAATTTCTGGACAACTTTTCCAAATTTCACTGAAACCGGTCTAGCCGTCTTCAACTAATGCACTTTCTTACGAACCTTCCATTTTTATTTAGAATACAAATAAGAATAAAAAGGATTTTTATTAAAACACTCCCAAAAGTGACTGTATATATTTTGTGTTGTAATAAAATCAAAGCTAATAATATTTGTTGTATATCATAAATTTTACGACCAGTTCGAAAAAAAAAACTCTCTTCATACAATAACTGACGTCTCACCCTCCCTTGCTTCCCCATACAAACTTTTACCCCCTTAAGGGATGATTTCCCGGATAAAAACTATCCTATGTCCTTCCTAGAAGCTCAAACTATCTTCTGAACAAAAATCATCTAAATCGGTTCAGTAGTTTCTGAGCAAATAAACAAACACACAAACAAACAAACAAATTTTTCTCTTTATAATATTAGTATGGATAAGCTAAACCCCATACACATACATACACACACCCATACAAACATACATACATAAAAGCATTATGCTCTTATTTAGACTGTTGGACAAATAAGGCAATAAAATTCGCGTAAGCATCCATATATTCCATATAAAGCCAAATTCAAGGTTGACTCCGTGTACATTTTTTACTTATCTTTAGCCAATTGTAAAACTTTATAGGTACGGAGGTTTGTATAATATAGTAAACGGTTTTTTTCTTTACGCCTTTGTGATTTTTAGTGTATTTTGTTATAATTTAGTTTAGGAGATTGTTTAACCGACTTCAAAACTAGAAGTTATTAGGTATCTCTGGTTAATTCAATTTTTCCACCCATAATTGCGGAATTATAATTTTTTTTAGGCGTTTTTGTTCTGAGGATAATTTATATACTATAATTACATCATCACATACATATTACAATCATAAAAATATGTCCGTCTGTGTTTACGTTACTTCTTCACGCCATTACGAAATACTACTAAATAGGTTTAAGTGAGGTTTTGGATAGCTTCTATGGTAGATTTACTAGATATTTAGTTGGAAGTCTGTTATATTTTTTGTTAAAAACTTTTTATTTACTATATAAGCTAACCTTTCTAAACCAATATCCTTCATGTTTTATCCGTTCCACGGGCCAAGTAATCTGTGCTCATCTGGCACGCTTTGAAGCCATTAACAAGAGAATTAAATTGAACCTTCCTACGACACAAGCGAAGTCACTTGCCAAAACTAGTTACACAACATATAAAACACACCTTATCCTTCTGAAGTCCAGCTCACACGGGTCCACCGTCTTCCAAGCACCATGGAGGTAGTTCCTGCATATCCTGCCTGCAACTTCTCGCATCTCCTCTTCAGTACCGCACATTTGCAGTTTCTATGGAAAAAGGAAACAATACACCATCAATACAAATATTCCTCATTGCACACCATAAAACATGACAAATATTGGTAGTCCAGTGGTAACGCTCTCGTTTGGAAAACCGAGTGAAGCGGGTTCAAAACCCGGGTCTCGCATCTCTGATATTTTCATGTGCGAATCATTTTCAACATAATTACTTCTTGTCTTACGGTAAACGAAAACATTGTGAGGAAATCTGCATGTCTGAGAAAATCAAGTAAGATTTCGAAAAACATGTAAAGTCCGCCAAACTGTACTTGGCCAGCGTGGTGGACTATGGCCTGATCCCCCTCGTATAATAAAGGGAGGTCCGTGCCCAGCAGTGGAACGTTAAAAAGGGCTGAATATAAATGTTCAAGAAGAAATAGCATAATATGCGGCTTTATCTCTAAGTAATCAATCTCTTCTAAGCAACATTTGAGCAGAGAGAAAGAAAAAAAACATAGGAAAGGCGTGCCAATCCAAAGTTTTTACAGAGTTAAGAAAAAATAATTATAAATATATACATAATACATCATCATTCGTTCAAAAACGATTTTTTTATATATGGTATCGCACCGAAAAGATTGTTTTGATTCTGTGACACATTAAAAATAGACATGGCACTAAAATTGTTTACAAAAAATGTTGTACTCTCCCGAAAACAACTTTTGTTCTCTCAGACATATTATATGTATGTAGTTTCCTCATATTTTTTCCTTTAACGTATTAGCAAGCTCTAATCAAAATAAAAAGATTTCAACTTAAAAACCTATGCAAGGCTTGGGATTGAACCCGCTCCTCTTAGCTTTCAAACCAAGCGCGTTTCCACTGAGCTACCACTATTCTAAACATTATTATGTCACCACTACATATTCTGAGTTTGTGTCCTATCGGGCTATCTCAGAAACTGCTGTACCAATTTTCATACGGTTTTGACCAATCAAAAGAGTGATTTCCTACGAAGGTCACTTTCAGGGATCCCGAACGCAGCGAGGGTAAGGTAAGGTAAGATTTTCTATTAAAGACATTAATAAATTGCAGTCCTTCTAAAAACGTTAATTTGTATTCAATACGACAATCCAGTCTCATTACATTCTAGTACGTGAGCGACCGATCTCGTCCCGGAGTCTCGGCGTAGGCGTTCGCTCAGGAAAAAGGCTCTAATATTAACTAATATATATATATATATATATATATATATATATATATATATATAATATATATATATATTTAAAGCACAAAATGAAAATAAATCGGTGAAAAACTCCGAAAAGATAGTTATATTTGAAACAAAAAAAAATGTTTATTCTTTTATTGCAAAAATGAGGTTTTCCATAAAAACCCAAACCTTATCTAAATACAACTTTTGATCCAAATCGATACAGCCTTTTGCGAGAAACACGAAATTTTATATATTCAATACGACAATTCAGCCATTACAATTAAAACGTTTATAACAAAGATGTTCAAGACTTTCCTGTTGACGTTTATGAGATAAAATTTTCCATCAAGGACAACTTGTGGGTAAATGTTGCATTGACAGAAATAAAAATTGGTCAAGTGCGAGTCGAATTCGCACACGCGAGTCGAATTCGCACACTAAGGGTTCCGTACCATCATACGTGTACTTTTTATTAATATGACTTTTACTCTATATATGGGTATATATATACCCATATTCGATGATCGATTACGAACGTAAAAAAATATTTCTTGTACATTTATTTTATATTATTTTTTTGTTATAGCGGCAATACAAATACATACTAAGTGAAAATGTCAACTTTCTACCTAAAACGGTTCATGAGATATAGCCCTCTGACAGACGGACGGACGGACGGACAGCGGAGACTTAGTAATAGGGTTCCTTTGGCATCCTTCGAATACGGAATCCTAAAAAGTATGAAGTCGCTACATCTGTCTCATACGACGATATACGACGCGGCGCAGTTTGTTTACAAAAAACTACACATTTTAATGCAATTTTTAGTGCGAAGTTAATTTTAATGGTTAGTATATTCGGCTCGAGATCCGGAGGTCTTGAGTTCGAGTCCTGGCTCGGGCAGTATAGATACTGGGTTTAAATAGAATTTTCATTTCATCAAACTATCGACTTTCAAAGAAAATCAAAAGTATAAATAGATAGAGATTTTTATATACGATTACATGATAACAGTTTACCAAGTGCAGATGGCTAATATCAACAGACTGGCAGCCGTAGATGAAATCGATGAAGGAAGACATAAAAAAAATTGTTATTCTTATAATTATTATATTTGTTGTGGAACACACGGATTTTTCAACAAACTTTAAGTATCGAGATGGAAACGACTCTATGACACTCTCTAGCCCATAAACTATTTCTATGTTAAAAAACACGTCAATCCATCGCTTCGTACAAGGAGTACTAAACAACACACTTTAGCATTTATTATAGGTATACTCAAAAAATCTAGATCAAAAAAGCTAGACTTAGGGCGTTAGTGTAAAAAAAAATAACAGTGAAGTTAAATTTGTAAAATAATAATTTATATAATACTAGAAGAACCCGCGGCTTCGCTCGCGCTAAACTACAAAAAAAAAAAAAACTCTGAAAAGGTATAGGTTTCATACAAACTTTCATACCCCTATTTTACCCGCTTATAGGATGAATTTCGAAAAATACTAAAACACGTATTTATTTAGTTATATTAAAGAGCATTAATACAAAGTTTCAAGTAATTCTGATCAAAAATATTTTTTTGTGTTGTATTAAACGTGTTTTCCCGTCGGAATGTGATAATCTACCGCGGTAAAAAGTAGCCTATGTCACTCTCCAGCCATCCAACTATTCCTACACAAAAAATAACTCCAATCCGTCACTCCGTTTCGACGTCAAAAAAGGAAGACGTCAAACAAACAAACAAACACACTTTCAAATGTATAATATTAGTATGGATTTACTGATTTTGGACAAATTGTTTGTAATATAAATATTTTATATTAAAAACGTGATTAGGTGAAAAATAGCCAAGTTCCCTTTGACGATATTACAATAACGAAAAAATTAACCTGAACTTAAAAGGAAACCAAAAAGAAACATTATACTTAAAATGTTGACTTATAAAACCAATTAAAACTATTATTTTTGATTCTGTTTCAAACAATAAATGTGCAAAAAATTTTCCACAACTTGGTAAGTATTTACTTAACCGATACGTAATAATTACCATTTACTATGTGATATTGTTTTTAGAAAATATGTAATCTTTCACCTTATCTTTTATCTAAAATCCAGACCTTGAAAGATAAGGAAGGTTGTGATAACTCATGAATGTCATATATATATATATTTTTATATATATATATATATATATATATATGAGTAGCGCTGCGTACTGTTTTGCCTATTAACAGAATTAGACTAAAATGTCTGTGGGTTCGAATTTTTTATGAATATGAAGATTGTGGGCAAAGAAACAACTGTTCGTTATTTATACCTAAACTGTTGAACGGATGTTATTGAAGTTATACTTCTTTTGGCACGTTTGGAAAATAATATGAGAGTAAAATTTTTACGACACGCTCGCATATCGAAAGCCAAAAAGCGACATGATGAAGTTAGCTGCATTCCTTTTACAAACAAAGAGTTGTGACATACGGAATGAAATCTTTAGCTATTTTTGTTTTGTTACGCCAAAGATGTATATTTTTTCAAGCATGATACTTGGAACACAAATAAGTATCGTGGATCACTTAGAATACTTTCAAAGTAGATCAAATGATTTCCATGGGTATGAATGAAAAAGTTTCAGAATTTACCCCCCACATACAAACTCACTAACTTTACCTTGAATTATAATGTATTTTGTCTATGTCATAGATAATACGGGAATCACTATTTCGTCATAGTTAAACTCATAATAAATGTTGATAAGCTATCGTGTGTTCACATACATTTTAAGACGCATGCCAATCAAAACAAGCTCATTATCTATATTTATATTTTTTGTACAAATGTAAGTCTGGCAGTTTATTCATCGCGCGACATCACGCGATAAAAACATTTGTCATTTACTTTGGAAAAATTTTACAAACATCAACGACGAATTATTTAAAAAATTGAATATTAAAAATTAATACTTTTTTAGATTTACGCGAATATTTGACATTTTAAATAAAACTATAATATATTTTCGATCTTTTCGCGGATTTATTTTGATTTTTGGTTCTCGACGTTTCGAATGCAATATACCTACTACAAATCCTCGCGAAAGTGACGCACTGAGAGTATTGAAATTGAAAAACATCTAAAATTCAATAGGGAAGATGACTAAGTACTACCCATCGTGGTGGGATCCTGGAATTAATCTATACATATAATAAAATTGTAACTAAGCCGAATCTGTACATTAAACATTTTTTAGAAAATCTTATTGAAATAGACATTATTATCGATACAGAAGCCGAATCTATAGGTTTTAGAATATTTGTCTGTCTGTTACCGCATCACAGAAAAACCACTGGAGGGATTTTGATGAAATTTAGTATGGTGATAGCTGGTTATCCGGGTCAACATATAGGATACTTTTTACCGCGGAAAAATATCTCATTTCTGGGAAAAATACGAAAACTGCATTGTAAGAGTATACTAATATGTAAAACCTAAGAATTTGCTTTTTGGTCATCTAAACGCGGGCGGTGCCGCGGGCAATGCTAGTATAATATATTCTAATACGAAAAGAATACATAGCGGACCGTTTGATGTAGTTAGTTCTTACTTACATATTGACATTATTCAATTTTTCCAACTTATGTGGCAAGTGTTTATTTATATTATTAAAAAAATGATAACTTCAAAACAAAATTTATTGTGCGATCAAAATTTATATCAAAATATATACGAAAATTACATTAAAACTTTCGAGTAATAGGATAAAATAATATTTTAAAAGAAAAAAAAAATCGAAAGTGCATATTACAAGACTTCCGCGATAAACAATGGCATTCCCAAG